CCCAGGGACTTGCCTGTCCACTGTTTGACCCCTATCGCATTCCTTACTCTGATTTTTAAGGAAGGAAAGATCAACCTCGGAACCAATCGACTAATTAAAAGGGCGATCTGAAGAAGTTGACAATGCCGAGCAAACTGAAAGATGTGAGCGTTCTATTTTGCAAAACTATTATTACTTAAATAATAAGCAGAAACATGAACATACGTCGAAATAGAAGATGTTTTTTTTAAGATTATAAAATAAAAATGTACTGATGGTTATACACTTCCACACATACAATTACGCACTATTCATAACCGGTGATGATAATTTCTGATGATAAAGTCGAAAACCACGCGTGCCTTCATTTGCAGTATTTTATCTGGCGATTGACAATTCGCCGGTGAAACGTTCTAAAAATAAATTATTTCCATCGGAACGTTTCAGTTTTATATTTCTCTTCCAGTGCCTCGGTAACCAATCCCGTGGCTAACTTCCTCCCGCACTGCCACAACTGTGTTTTCTGGTCTGGGATTGGCTGCGGTGGCCTCTGAGGCCCCTTCTGTTTGCCAATTCCCTGTGCGCTTCAACTTAATTGCCACGAATTCCACAATCATATATTTTTTTCAGCTAATCAGCAACTTGTGCACCCCAATTAAACAACTCTGCTTAAAAACCGTCTTGCGCTACAAGAAAAAAAAGAGGGTTGTGTCAATTTAAAGCAAGCATAGGGATCTTCAGTTGAACACGGAGGCTTTCGCGACCAATATTATTCATAATAAACGTTTTGGGATCTGACACATTTAAAATTATATACTGCGTATGAGAGGCATGGTCACGTTAAACCGAGAATGACTTACGCACCTGATGTTTTGCAATCAACATTAAACGCCACTGTATTCCAAACAAGTAAAACATAAACTTTGCTTTTGAACTCGAATAATTATGGCAAGAGTTTTGAGACTTACATTGCATCTTCTTGGTTCTTTCGGTAAAGTCACGTAGAAGGGAAGTAATAAAATAATAAAAATAAAACATAATAAAATAATGATATTCTATTATTATATTATTTTATTATATTACATTATAGTATTTTATTATATTATATTATTATTTTATTATGTTTTATTTTTATTATTTTATTACTTCCCTTCTACGTGACTTTACCGAAAGAACCAAGAAGATGAATCCCTGCAGTCACGAAAGCTTTAAATCGAAACTTACATTGCACTTCATGCCAATGCCAGTTTCACAATCAATGTAGCCCGGGATAACGGTGAATAGAATGTGTGTTATGGAAATCAGGAGACTGTTAGCGTTTGGACGAGAGCCCTCGTGAGTGGCTTCGAGCATTGGCGCTCGCTCGCATCTCTTGCGCCGCATAAGCAGGGGTGGGATGAATGGTCGCTTAAAGCTCGGGGACCCCCCCCCCCCCCCCCAATCTTTGTTCCGAACTCCGTGGACATAATGGGGACACACGTTTGGTGGCGAGTCTCGCCGATGGAATTAACGCTATCGTGGATTTAGGTCGCTGGGATTTCAATTAGCGGGGAATTTAGGCTGCGCCGCTGGGAAAGTTTCAGAGCCTGCCCCCGTGAGCAAAGCTTGGAAGTGTCAAGCCTCGCCAAATGTATGTTTTGGAGTAACTGTGGAAGTTCATGAACAATAATCTGTAACCGTTTCTATTTAACGAAAATAAGTGTGCTGCCAAGGAGCTCTTAATCCAAATCTCATGTCAGTTTTGTAAATGGGAGTTTGGCGCTTTTGTGAGCTCCCATTGACGCCTCGTCCTGCGCACGGGGGTTGGTAGAACCGTGCGCGCGTGAAAGGGAGCGCGATTATGAGTGCGTGTGCAGGCATGCGGGCGTGTGTACGAGCGCGTACACGAGGGGGTACGGGATGAATGGGCGAGTGTTCAAGCGAGTGTAGGTGAGAGGCATAGAGCGAGTGTGCGTGCAGCTCTGAATAATGCAATGCATGGGTGTGTGAACAGTTGTGATAGCGGATGTCTAAATTCAACCGATGGTGGAATTACGGTATAGTCTAGATTTGAAGCTTTCGTGACTGCAAGGATTCATATTCTTGGGGTTTTTCGGTAAAGTCACGTAGGTAAAAAATTAAAATGAATAAAAGTATCAAGTAAATGAGATACAGCGAGCGTGCTGTGACGGTTCCACCTGAAGACGGAAGCTTGTGTTGCCTCCGAAACGTCGTGATATTTATTTTATTTTTATTTTACTTTTATTCATTTTAATTTTTTACCTACGTGACTTTACCGAAAAAACCCAAGAATACGGTATAGTCTGTGTGCGAGTGCATTGGAATAAAACTACGTATACAGTGTGTGTGTGTAAACCTGTACATGGAAGTGTTCTCTTCCAACATCCGAAATGTCAGTGCTGCAGATGGAAAATTACGAGCACACATCAAAGAGAAAAGAATAGATGGTTACAACTTTACAAGGGGACATTTTTTTAAAAAAATGGCACGTGGAAACAAATGTCTCCCAACACCCGCCCCCATCAGAGGTGTGGCAGAAAAAAAACCAAGTGCGCTTCTGTACGAACACGTGTGTACTCGTGCGTGTATGTGTTTTTTTGTGTGCGGGGGTGTGCATGCGGTACGTAAGGGGGAGTGTGCATTTCATGCGCATGCAGACAGTATCTGTCAGCAGCCGAAAATTGTGCCCGAGTCACCAGATATCGAACCCTGGCTCCGAGCACGTCACGTTTATCACGACTGTCCAATTACAGCAGAATGTTTTTACTAATGTCCGTGATGTAAGTACGGGTGGATTTCATTCTTTCTTCCCATTGCAAGGATGTGAACCACTAAGAAGGAATCACGTCGAAAGTGAACGCAGTTGCACCGAGAGAAAATCCGTAATTGTCAGCGGACACTTTCAAGGTCAAAGAAACGGACACCTTATTGTTTTGTTTTCCTTAGAAAGAAAATAAACCTCCCAAGTAGAAAGAGAAAAGGGCCACCTGCTCCCAAGTATGCGGTCGGGAATGGTATGAACAAACACCTTAAAGCCCGATGATCCCATTGCACATACGACGTTGCATTCGGAAGAGGAAAAAAAAACCCAACCCAGAGAACATTGTTTACAGGAGTTTTGAGTTTCAGACAGGTATTTTTCTTTTTTTTAAACAGACGCGTTGTTTCCAGGATGGTGTAAGTGTTCCGAGCGAGGATTTTCAATCGCGGGAGTTTTGATTGCCCATCACCCCCTGCATTCTCTCGCGACTCGGTCATTTCTGGCAGCGAGGCCGAAAAGGGACCACCTGGCGTCGTGTAGCAGCGGAGGCTTGGGTTTCGGTCAAACTTGCCAGACAGAACACCTGTTTATTAGGCATTGTTCGGAAGCCAGTAGGCTGTAATCTCACACAGGCTCGGTGACATTGTAAATCACGTGGCTGTACACACAATCTGATCAGCGTAAAAACTCGGGCTTCAGTTATAATGGCACTTGGATAATATTACATGTACGCAGTGTTTTGTGTGTCGACATTTAAGAACCTGGGGAGTGGTAGTATCGTAGTTTGTGGACTCCTCGAGGTATCGAGCGACCTTAAATTTCCGACCACGGCCAACATGAGCGGTACATTTCTGAACCGGTGCAAAGCCTCCTGTAGGTCGACCCAACCTTAAAGCAGGACCTGGTGTTGTGTGTAAACTTTAGCAATGGGCAGACAGAGGTGGCTGTGATGGTCCTGACCACACCACCCCCATGTGTGCCGCATCGGCCTTGATAGGTGCTCACTTCCTGCACTTGCCCCAACAGCCTGCATAGCTCCACGGGGGGAGGGGGGGGGGATCTTTTTTTTGTTGTACATGGCAAACACGTGAACACACACAAACACAACGAACACAGAGTGAACAGCACGCCAAGCACCAAACGTCACGGAAAAATGTGTCACCATCAATATGGCAGTGACAGCACATGGTAGACGTCGAGCAGCTGTTTCAGAAGCACACCAGAGATCAGTTAAACGATAGACTGCATATAATTTGATCCGTGGCATGTACATCGAGTGTGAGAATGTGCACAATTGTCTAGGTTCAGTGTGAATATGGACAACCGGCTGTAATGAGCGCTGGTTTCTGAAAATAAGTATGGAAACAAAAAGGATGCATGCGCAATAACTATTTAACACTTTACAACATGCATTTGTCTTAGGAAGTATTTAATTAGCAGTATGAACGCCGCCGGCTAGCTGTCAGGGACAACAGTGCTTGCATATTTGCAAAGTTCTCTTTACTTGGGGTTTGTGCCAGTGCTCAATAGGGTGAGTCTTAATAGCAACAGTTTATACTGAAGTTTCCTATTGGATAATCTTCAGGTAAGTTATGGTGTCCTTCTCCCCTCATGATTGATGGATAGAGGTTAAGTATAAACGCTTCCGACCTATTTTAGAGAGTTTTAGAGAGTTTCAGAGAGATGCTCAAATAGATGATCTGCGTAATGAAGGTCTAGCTGTAATGTTTTGTCCATGTGGCCCCATACTTAGCAAGATTTGCAACAATATATGCAGCTGACACAGAACCTAGGATGGGATGTCAACAACACATTCAAATTGGTTACGTTTAAATGGATGTCTGTCTGCCTCGTGTGAAATGCACACATGTCTCCTGTATATTTAGTCGAGGCTAAATATGTGGAAAGTGACCAACTGATATATCTTTGATATCTACAGTATCTTCAAGTGAGCGGATCAGATGTTTGTTCGGAATGCATGCTTCTGCAAGCATAGCGGAGTTTTTTTCCCCTTGTAGCCATGTGAAACAAACACCCTGGCTCATAGCTCATCCGTCATCGGCACTGTCTGTCACTCCGTGTGCATGACCCCCATCATCTCCATCGTCACAACCTGCCAAATTCCTAGCCCCAATTAATGTTTGCCAGCAACTGCCACAGCCACCAATTTCTCTACAGTTGTCATCGATAACCGTCTGCATAACGCTTATCACTCATCGCATAAAGAACACAAAAAACAAGACAGACAACATGCCTGTAATGCAAATTTATTTTAAAATTATACAAGCTACGAATAATTGCAGTGTTCAGTATACTACCATGCATTCCTACAGGCATTATTTAGTCCTAGAAACACATTAATTGAATATAGTAGCTTGTTAAAAAATATTTTTAATACTCAAGTAAAGCATTTGTGGCGGCCTAGACTTTTAATTGAAAAAAAAGTTGCAGCAGGAAATCTATTAAACCACACGGCTGTTCAGACCATGTAGGCAGCTTGTTAGCGGTGGCTCTCACGTCTTTGTTTTTATACCAGTACGGTTTGTGCTCTACACAGCACGCGCGACCCTCGAGTGCCAAAGCTGTTAAAACACTGGCTCAAAAGCGTGCACAACTACAGCCCAATTACTAACTCGAGGCATGTGCTCGATCTGGTGACATTCTTTCAACAACAAAAAAAAGGCTTAAAGATGTTTTCAAGGTTAAGGGCAGTATAGACATATCTGTACATACTGACATAATTCTCATACGACCATGACCTTGCAATTTAAGTAGCACTTATAAATGTGCATTCAGTAGCTTAGAAGGACTGCAGCGGTGGTAAGTGGTTTAGCGGCTAAGGATAATATTCCTATGATGGTAGGTACCCACCTGAATATTTGGCAGGAAACCATTGAAATGTATAGGCTAATGATAAGGTATATGAATTCCAATTCAGGCTACTATATTTGTTATTAGCTACATTTCCACTCTCATCTTCCTTTCCACAGGAATAAGCAACATCAAAACGTACATTTTCCAAAATAAGAACTTTCGTTTTAGTCCGTGTGCATTGCCTTCTATGACACACAGATGAGAAGAATGGATGACATTTCACTTACAGACAGAAATAGGAACTCGTGGATCAGTGAACATACGCCAGTTAAAGACATCTTATTGGCTGCTATAAAAAGATGAGCTTGAGCAGGATACGTCGCTCGAAGTGATTATTGCTGGCGGTCGAGGCTAACGACGAAATCGCAAAGGAGAAAATCAAAGAATGATGGAGTGATTACATTAGATGATTTGCAGATGCTAGATGGATTGTTGCAAGACAGGACTGAGGGATGGAGATAGCTTTCAGAGGCCTTAATATAGCAGTGTATTGATAATGCCTGATTGATGATGATCATTAAATCCGACCAGTCCCAATGCATTGCTCTACCATCCCCTGCATGGGGTCCACGTCTCCAGCACGGTGTCTCCATCATGTACGTGGTACACGGAGTGCATAGCAGCCGCGGCACAGGACTGCATTGCACACACACCACACGCAACACATCATCCATGAGGCAGGTAATCGATTTGTAACACCTTGTTGAGCAGTGCAATCCTTTGTGTTAGAGAACAGGCCACAGAGGCAGATGTCACAGAGCTACCGGTGAGATCCCTTCAAGTGACCTCCGGGTCACACGGTAGGTGGCAGCACTTGCTCACCCACGCCGTCAATGAGTAATATACGTCACACGACAGTCTGAACCGGTATTTAATTTAATGCTCAGAGCCGGAATTTAGCCAAATAAAGTTAAGAGCCAAATGTTATGTCATGGATATTTATTCATATTCTGGCAGGCTGAATGTTTGACCAGGCTGAATGTTTTCCAACTGTTATTTTAATTATGCTATTGTGTCACAAAGTATTCATTCAGAACTCTTGCTGAGCAATACGTTAGAGAACTTCCACAGGAGAATATTTCATAGACTACTTCTGACATCCCTTCAACTGACCTGTTTATAACTCGGACTACGGGGAAAGTGCGCCCCACACTGGCTGAGTGAAGTGCTGCAGAGAAATGTTTGTTGCGTGGCAACAAACCAACAGCCTTAATCAGGGGTGTTTGCCCAGATTCGACCCCAGGATATCATCGGTGCTGGCTCAACTACATTCATTAGACAATATATATTATTTTTTATCATACACCAAATTCATATTGGTCCTATATGTTGACATTCATTCCATAGCCTTAGTTCAGTTACTGTCTTGTCCACATGTTGTCTTACATGGTAAGGAATGAGGAACAACGCTGTCCCAAGTGGAAATTTCTCAAAGTCCATCTCTTGACCTTCCGAGGCTTCAATGAGGCCATGCTCTTGGCTCATCTCCACTAGTCTGGCGATACACACAACAACAAGAGAATACGCTAGAGAAGTTAAATCACTGGCTTAGTGTAGATACTGTTTTTTATTACATATATTGAGATACCTGGAATTTAAATCCCTTTGTTCTTGCCTATCAATTTATCGTGTTTATGTCGAGTATTGACAAAAATCAGTTCGTTATAACTATCACATATGCATCATAAAGATGGACATTGACAAGAAGATGAAAAGTTGAAAAATATTCAAAGAAGCAGGAGAAGTATAATATTGGAATTACACTGACAGAAATAGGAACATGTGGAATAGAAAACATGCACATTAGAAACATAATATTGACAGTTAAGAAAAGTAAGTGGGCTTCGACAGAAGGACATTGCTAAAAGAGACATTGTTGTCTTTGACCACCGGCTATCAGATGATATCAGATGAGAGCTGGTGGTGAAAACTAACAACGGAGTGCCATTCAAAGGAGCGATTTGATGCAATGCAGAAATGTGACAACAATGGTTTGGGGAGGGCTTCATCCAACAGTGGCTTGATCATGGCTGATGATGCTTGACAAAAAATGTGAACATAAACCGTTGTGTTCCAAATATTATATACGTTACTGCTGTTGAAACATAATGCACTCATAATCCAGTGTAAAGTCTCCCATGAGCACAAAAGATGGTGAGCTGTGTATAGCAGAAAAAAGGGGGAATGCGTATTTGTCAAGCAAACAGCAGTCAAGGAGGATGCAGGGATATTGGCACCGGATCTCGGGATGGTCCTGGATCACGGCATAGCCGGACGGCAGCCGGCCGTGTCCGTGGAGACTGATGGCCGTCCACCCGCAGTCCACCAAGAGCCGCCCCCTGTGGCGGATGTGAGTGACAACCCGCGTAAGCACGCGCACCGCGATGTCCTCCGCGCGGCATGAGCCAAGGTGCAACTGCTGCACATCTGTGGGTCACGTTCATGCATGCACACATCACATCACATGCACTGCATGTGTCCTCACAAGTGTCAGCAAAGAGTACTTATTTACATACAGGTTTATTTATGAATAATACTGCCCTAAAACATTTAAAATGTATATATACTCTGTATGTGTTTTATCTTCTTTTAAGGCAGTGTTATTGACAAATGAGTTCGAGTTTTTGTTAATGCTGCTTATTTCCATACATAAACGAAAGAGGAACACGGTGGATTCGAGAACACATGCAGGGTAATCACAGAATTAAAACTGTTTAGAAAGATAAGTCGGCTTAGGCAGGACATATCACTAGAAGGGATGGCGACCAAGAATAATGACAGAGTGGCAGCCAAAGGAACATGTCCAAGAGTCCTTCATCGTGGAAAAGGGAAAGGTGAAATCGGCTCACGTGCAGGCATTAGATGGATTATTAGATCTCAGGACTGTGGGCATTAGCGACTACTTTTCTTGGGAAGGCATTTATCCAGCAATGGAGTGATCATGGATGATGATGACGACGACGACGACGATGATGATGCCTGTTGTTCGGTGAATAATGGCTTTACGCTCATGTATGTGTGTTGTTTTGGGGTGGAAGCCTCACCGTAGAAGAAGTAGTTGCCTGGGTGCACCTCAGAGAGGGCGCCCATTCGGGGGACTGGCAGGCTGCAGGAAGGTGTGGAGCCAATGCTGGAGCGAGTGGTCACCCCAACTTCAGCCAGTCTGTGAAGTGACAGGTAGAGCACACACATCAGGGGTGGGGTGCCTACAGCTTAAAAGCAAAATACAACCCGCATATTTATTTAAAACTGCCAAGAGCCACCTGAGGTCTTTTTTTTTAAATGGCCCACAAATTATTATTAATCCATCACTGCATCTTAGCCTCCTTAAATGGCTACTAGACGTCATTATTCTCATTATTGCAAGGGCCTTATTGTACTCGGTCGATAGGCACACTACTTTTAGAGTTGATATTGATCATGTGAACGTGTGTGTGAATGTGCGGCCCATCAATTGTATTTGCAAGTCCTATTCAGCCCTCGGTAAGAAAAAGGATGCCCACCCCTGACAGACATGGAAGTGGAAGTACAGATTCACGTACAGCACTTAAAGCATTCAAGTACAGCACTTAGAAACACAATCCTTCCTGTAGTCAGCCAAATCTATCCATCAGGAGGGATGTAACACTTGCATTCCATTATGTCCATATAAAAAAAAAATTTGCTAAACTGTGGTGTCCAGGGTAAAAGAATTAGACATTTACAATCCAGGCAAATTCATAGCGATTACAAACTGTTCTGATCAGTCTCTCCTCACATTTCAGTTGTAGGCCAAACCAGCCTTGTCCAAATGACTGAATGCAAGGCGCCACTACTTGGTGTTTGCTATCTCATATTATGGGCAAAGTTACGTAATACAATATACACAGCCTTTCGCTAAATCGTTTTTTTGACAATAGATGTAATTTCATATTTTAATCCTATGATTTACGTACGTGTAGGTACTCAACAGGCAAGTTGTCAGTATTAATCCCTCTGTGCAAAAGCTGTCGCAATACCACACCACAATCCATACCCCCTCTGGATGAAAATCTCAATACCACACCACAATCCGTACCCCCTCTTGGTGAAAGCCTTGCCCTTTTATCCCCATTTGAGAGCAACGAAAAGACAGTGACATGTGGCAAACACCCACCGGGAGCAAAAAGCAAGGATTTTCTCAGTCGTGTTTTCAGCCACTGCCTGGATCTCTGCCACGCTGTGGCAATGGTACGTGTTCCCACAGTGGGCGTAAATGCCATCCAGCTTCATGCCCGCACTGCGACCAATCTTCAGCGCCAAATCGAAGGCTTCAGGCTGGTCCACAAACACCCCAGCTGGATGGTGCACACGTACAGTCACCCATTACTCACTGCTAAGGATTGTGGGTTCACCGCTCCTGCGACTTTTGACCAGTACAAGAGCGTTTTCTAGTCACAGTGCGCACTGATTCTCAGTGAGAGCAACAATACATAAAAAAGATGATTTTTGGACAACAAAAGGCAAAATCATGACCATTTTTTTTTATACATGTAGTATGGTGATGTCATCGACATGCAAAGCATTATGTGAGGATCGCGCCAATAGCCGCAAATTGTGCTTCTGCTATCTACAAATCACCTTTTGCGTGTATTATTACTCTTTTCTGTCTGATGAGTGTCTCACTGTTTTGCGAATGCTAGCTTTGGCACATACCCCTTCCGTTGTTACAGTCGACTTTGAGCCAGATATGCCAGACCTTGCCTTTTGCGAGTGTGCGAGCGGCAAGTCTGGGCAAGGTCTCAAACTCAGACACCAGTACACTGAAGGCCTCCAGTCTCTCAGTCAGGATGGCACACTGCTCCACTTTGTCTGCGCTCACAGGGAAGGCGTACAGGATATCATCGAAGCCGCCATCCGCAAAAAACCGTGCTTCCGCCAAAGTAGAAACAACAATGCAGCGTCGTGTGCCTCCGGTCATGATCACTCCACCCTCCCTGGTTGGGAACACAAAGGACATGACAATGAGCACGAACAGAGAATGTGTCATTGGCAGTGCTCAACACTTTAGTGATCTTTCCTTTTATGGAAATGAAATATGATTAAGCTCATGGTGAAACAATTAAATCCAGCAGCACAACACAGGGATCTTGTTTGAATTATTTTTGTGGCTTACAAGTCAAATATGTGCTTATATTATTAAACACAACGAATAATACATGTTCAGTTAATAACAACAATTTGAGTTTGATTTTCATGGTGGCCATTAATTTATCAGAAACGGGAGCAAAATATTGTTCAGTATTACATATATTAGGCAGCACAGCACGGTGTCAGTATTATTCTAATTTATAAACTCTTCCCGTGCAGAAATAGAATGAAGCAGTATGTAAAAGGAGAGTCCGACTGTCATCCCAGGCCTAGACGTGCTGCCGCAGTAGAGGGGCCACAGCCATATTCTTAGGTTTTATTGGTAAAGTCACGTAGGTAAAGTTACGTAAAGTCACGTAGGTGGGCCACAGCCACTCACAAAGTCTTGTGGGTTTTCATATGGGGGCGCAGGGTCACCCTCAGCTGCCGGAAGCGCTCCAACATGCGGTCCGCGTTCCTCTGTGCCGTGGGCAGGTTCACCAGGAAGGCCGGTGAGGGCAGCTCGCTCACCAGCCTCGACTCAGCCATCTTCTCAAATAAGCTTAGCCTATCGTCGGAAAGATTAACCGCTGCATTCACATTAATGTTATCGTTGTTTTCTTAAATAGTGCCTCATGGAAATGTTCATTTGACTGATCTACCAATTAAATAGATAAACAGGTCACACTTGAAAAAGAGTTTTACAACTCAATGGGCTTTACTTGGGAAATAAACGTATGATTCTGAACTTTTGATATAGCATACAAAGGTGTGCTCACAAACAGCAGCAAGGCATGTCCATCATGCCTTGCATTGCCATGTGACCATCACAATCATGTTTATTTTGTTTAACCAGGGGAGAACTCAACAGACCTGGATGAGTCTAATTTGCAAGATCGGACTGGGTCACCAAAATGGCAAAATCAAAACAAAAATGAAAACAGCGGACTCTCTATTATCCGCCCTTATGACGAGGAGGACGGCCGCGGTTAATTAAAAATCACGGATAATCCAAAAATATCCATTTTCCGCGGATCTCGATACCAAAAACCACATTCACCCATACTGAAGAGTCCGCCCACTAAGTGGATAGCAGAGCCACGCCAACCAAAATCAATCCAACTCTGCCCACTATTGTAAAAATATGCAACTACTGTACTGTAGAGACAATCGCGTGGATTTCGGATTAACCAGAGCACATATTTGTTCGGTTTAAGCAGGTGACTTGAAATAAACATTTCCAAGAATAACAATGTATAACAGTTTTTATATTATTGATTTGAGCTTAAGGGTAAATCCATTAGTTATTACATTATGTCAAGATCTCAGGTGTGCGGTTAATCCGCAAATCGGATAAACCGCGCACGTGGAGAATTGAGTCTATTTTACAGCAATGAAGAAAAAAGCAATCGGAGCAAAAACAACTGTTTCACATGGGAAATCGAAAATATTGTACGTGAAATGCTCTCGACCTTACTTATGTCTGTCCTATTTTCAGAATTCACATATTTCCGGTTGTGGTGGGGTTTTTTTTTTTAATCACCATTTAACAAGAGGTAAGTGTTTGTGCTGAACAACCTACAACTCTAAAAGTGTCAACATCGCAGCGTACAATTCTTTACCGCAGCATGTGATGCGCATTTTCGTGAAAACCCAAATTGTTGAGCATGGGGAGGCCCCTTTCTGAGAAGTGAGAAGTTGTGACGTTGCCAGCAGCTCTTTAAAAAACCTCCAACTTCCTCCTCCTTCTCAAGCTTGCTGCTGCTGCGGTGTGCATTTCACTTCCATATTCAGCGGTGGCGATGGAAAAAAAAAACACTTCACCGCTGCAGTCTGGTTGTGCAATTAGTATAGTACTGTAGAGAAGTACAGCAACACTACGTATGCTACTATATGTTGAACTTCTTTCGCACCGTACACAGCCAACCGTACTAATCCGAGGTGCTCGAGGGAAAAACAAACTAAACACACAAAAACTCGAACAGAAAGAAGTACGTTCTTAGTAAACATTGCAGAAATGTGCAGCAGTAACGTGTCAATACCGTGGACTCGAACCGCAGCACCAGTAACCGCTGGTGCTCATACTCTAGCTGGGAATTCTGCAATTAAACGATTGTAATTAGATAATCGAGTGCTTGATTGTTTACCTTTCCGCAGCAGCTCAGGCCTAGTTGCAGGCTGCTGCTGCTGCTGCATGGACCTGTGGTTATAGCTCCCCCTGCTTGAAAATTTGCGATTAATTTGGCTCCAATGTCCAACAATGACTAACCCACGACACTGAGCCTGCATGAGAAACTGAAGAGGCCAGCAAAGTGAATGGCAGCCAACCCAAGCCAAGGGAAACTGAATTAGACCAACTTAGAACAAAAAGTGTCTAACAAAAAGATTGGAGCAGCACAAATCTTACTGAGCAAAAACTCGGAAAAACTCCAGAATTGAGCACAAATAATGAAGGGCATTTCAACTGACGTGTCGAGAAAATAAAATAAAGCCTGTGTAATATAGCAATACCCTTAGGTTTTTTCAGTAAAGTCACGTGATTTATGATTTATAATTTTATTTCCATTATTATTTCTATTTTTTTTTTACCTACGTGACTTTACCGAAAAAACCTAAGAGTATGAATCATTGCAGTCACGAAAGCTTCAAATCTAGAATTAATATAGCAATATTCCGGTGCATGGTTGGGGGGGGGGCACCTGATTTTCCGGTTACAGGGACAACAAATGTTGAAACAAACCAAAATTCTGGCCAGAAATCCCCAAGATTCAGAAGCCCAGTCCCTTGAAGCACCTCGAGTGGTATATGTTGTTGTGAGTTTACAGCCACGGGTGTGTGGCCCGGTGGAAAGGTGCAAGTTTAGGAATCTTCATGGCATTTAAAATGTTTTTTTCTGGCCAAATGTGAACATTACTGTATTCGGAACCCATGAATGGGCATTCTTCACTCACCCAAGTCATCATGTAATGGATTAAAAATCCCATCTGGTAATTTAGCAGTGCCCAGTACATTGTGTGCAGTTTCTGCCGAACGTATTACAGCACTCTGTTAACGTGGATAAATAATCACATTAATGAAAGATGACGCACGAGGGTTACGCCTGTACAAGTCAGGCTGGCCAAAGGAATTTGAAACGTCACGCACAGTGGTGCTTTCCCATAATCGATTGGTAGTTTTTTTAAACACCGATTTTAGCCAATTGTTGGTGTTATTTTTGTTCAAAGCCCTATCAAAAAAATGTAGCATTCTGTATATATTTAAAACCATATTTAGGCTCGCATTAAGCTGCTTAAGGAGCTGATCCTAATTGAAACACATTTGGAAAGTGTCCTCTGAATGTCTCCCCAGTCCAAAATAAAAACCTGTCAGTGATAACCACTACAAACATCTCCTGTCCCCTACAACTACACCCCCACCTCCTTAAAAAAATACAATTCCCTGCAGAGGTACCATCTGAATTCATCACTCCTCGTAATAATACTATACATAAGAGACTGCCAAATGGAAACGTTTGATACGGCTAAACACCACAATTAATTAGCAGCTCAAGGGACCCTATATTCGTCATTAAAAAAAAACACCATCAAATATCTATTTGAATTTAGATACAAACATGCTATTAACATTCACACATTGTTATCTTATGTATTTTCTGAATCTTTCTTCTTTCATCTGTCCCTTGTCTTAACATGTATCTGATGTCACGTTTGTCATCGCTATCTCTTACATTGTTTTAATTTCTCACATCTCACAACCTCTCTCTGCCTCTTGCCTCTGTTGTATCCTCACACATTTATATATTGAAAAGGTAACGGCCACAAACCATCTTTCTCTGCTCTATACATTCTCTTGCCATCTCACGAAGGAGTTCATCAACAGAACGCCAATAAACGTGATATATCTTGTCTCTAGAATTCACTCCACTGGCTCCCAGGGATTGATGGCTCTGTTTGTCTGGGAAGGTGAGCTGTGTACACGGGGTGATGAGGATTCGTTTGACTCGTGGCCCCAACTTTCACACGCAGAAACGCAAATGTCCCCGGGTCCTGCCACGGGGTTTCAAGCGGCCGTTGTTTACCGAATTCCATCTCCGCGACGTCACGGCGTTTCCGCCGAAAAGCCCAAAGTACATTGCCATGTCAGCATATATTATACAAATTAACATAATACATTCGATTTGAAGCTTTCGTGACTGCAGGGATTCATCTTCTTGGTTCTTTCGGTAAAGTCACGTAGAAGGGAAATAATAAAATAATAATTTGTATTCTTTTATTATTTTATTACTTCCCTTCTACGTGACTTTACCGAAAGAACCAAGAAGATAATACATTCGCTACAAACGTCCAGATTGCGCTAATTAACATAACACGCGTACGCGTTATGTTAATTGCACACAATAGTTGCGCGGCGCGCGCACACATTATGTTAATGACACAGCGGCAACCGTCCGAATATATTATGTTAATTAGTGACGACACCGAAACGTGCAAGGGCTCCCATTGGTCAAGAGCCGCTTCCGGTCCCGCGGGTATAAAACAGCGAGAGCGGCACGGGGCGTCTCCGCATTCGCTGAGAAGGGTGAAGAGAAGAACGCCCTCAAGTCGCCTCCTCCATTGTCAAGCTCCGCGACAGCCGTCATCCCCCCCCGGACCCAGCAGCCGTCTCGCGATCAACGTTCTACGCTCTCCGTTTCCCGAAAAAGAAAACGTACATCTGTCGTATGTCCGCTTTCCAGAACCTCCAGTCTTTTGGTGAGTTTGACGGTCAAGCGGGTGTCGAGCGATGGAGAGGCGTCTTTGTCTTTGTTGTGTTTTTTTTCGCGCACGTACGCCATGCGTCACGCAGGGCGCGGCTGTTCGCGTGGTTTATTCTATAATTCGCGGCTATTGAAGCTTGTATAAAATACGTATTTGTGTTATTTGAAAATAACGTAATTTGACGACGACGAGTTTGTGGGGCGGTCGTAAAAATGTTGAAAAAAGACGAAAAAATGGTCAAAATCCGTTCTTTTGTTCGCCGGGCCTGGCGCTCTGGGTTCGCTCACAAAATGGCCATCGTCGTCTTCCCCCCCCCGCCCGCTTCTAAAATGTCCTCCCTTCCTGCCCGACTCGCGCCACCGCTGCTGCCGCTGCTGCTGCCCACGCCACCGCCACTAGGGGGCGCTACCCCACCCGGGTTGTGTCATGGGTGGTGACCACCAACGGGGGGTGGGAGGACGAAGCTGACCAGGGTTGCGTTTTCTGCGAAATACGATAATAAAAATAGCCGTGTCGTTTTTGGTACGGCGTGTCTCCCTCTGCCCTGTTGGTCTTTTGTCGTCGTCGTGTTTTTGTGTGCGCATTTAATGGGTGCTCGCAAGCAATTTACACCATTTTTTTTGTTTAAAGTGGGCATTTTCTTTGTCTCCTGCTGACGCCTTTGTTATAAAAACAAAGCGGTGTTATATTCGTTACCTCGTGTAGCCTGTTCGGTGATGTCTAATGCCAATCGACGGGGAAGGACGTGGCAACGGGTAATTACAATTTTTATGATAATTACATTTTTCCACTTGGGCAGAATGATTATGGGATGGTTTATTACACGATCTTTAAATCGGCACCGTAGCCGTTGTAAGCTAATCTCTGCGAGCTGGAAGGATCCATAAGACAACGTCAAATGTCAAGTCCTTGTTGCTATGGCGCGAACATGTGGTGGGCTATAAATATCCTTTGGAAAACATGGAGGAGAGGAGGAGGAGTAGGGGGTGTTTGTGAAGATCACGCCATGCCCACCCACCTCTTGGAACGGGGCCAGGATGACGAAAGTCCTGAGACACACGGGGGGGGGGGGGGGCCCTGTTCGTGCGTGACCTCGTGTGTGTCCGTGATTTTTCTTTTTTGTTTCTCTGGCCAGACCCGTTTGCTGATGCAATCAAGGGTGAGTCCAGCCTCCCGGGGGGGACGGATGATTCAATTCATATAAGGATCCAGCAGAGGAACGGGCGGAAGACCCTGACCACCGTGCAAGGCATTGGCGACCAGTACGACAAGAAGAAACTGGTCAAGGCCTTCAAGAAGGCAAGTGATGGACACCGCCAACGAAACGAATCGGTGTTTTAGATATTTTTTTTTGGCCTCGAGATGGAATTTCTCGTTTGCCAAGGGGTTGTCCCATTGGAATCTGGGGTTGATTTTCGCTCCCCAATTCTCAAACGGTCATAACTGGAATGGGATTTTAATCAAAACGACCCTTAATGTCTACACAATTTATGAATCTTTTGCTACCATCACGTTTTCAGATTTTAACAGGGTAGCATTTATGGAAGCAATTAGACGCCTTAAACATTTAAATTTAATTATGCCGCAATAATATAGGGTGCCATAGCAACGGCTGGACGATTTCCAGACCTAATAAAAAAATGGGTCTAGTATTTCGACAGTTTCTACGTTAGAATATTGAAAAATTATTTTGCCGTGATTTTATAAATCGTACGTATGTATTTTAATAATGTCCCCTAATGATTCGTGTGTGTGGTGTGCAGAAATTTGCCTGTAATGGTACAGTGATTGAGCACCCGGAGTACGGGGAGGTGATCCAGCTGCAGGGAGACCAGCGCAAGAACATCTGTCAATTCCTCGCAGAGGTATGAATGGACAAAGGCTGGGGGGTAGATGGGGAAAATATCAATGCTGAATATTATATTTTTATGTTTTATTTATATTAATCGTTTGCCTTAATGTTATACATTTTTGCCGTTTTAATAATGTGCCGTCTGGATGTTTTTCAGATTGGAATTGCAAAGGAAGATCAGATCAAGGTGCATGGATTCTAAACATACCAAATGATTGTTGCTACCAGTGTGCGTTTGTGTTATTTTAAATTGGGCCCCCATAACAATGGCTCCTAACCTAGTGTGGGCAGCGAGGTTGTCTAGTGGAAATGATTGGAATACAAATGAGTGTCAAATTTACTACCGGAGGGAGATTTCTGTACGGTGGAAAGTGTAACCAACAGCGAAAATTGAAACGTGTTTCCAATGGAAATGACCCACTAGGTTGTTATACATATGCTGCTTTTTCTATTGTCTTGTCTTAATTTTTGAGTATGGCGTTTCGCACATTCAAATAAACGAGTCCGAAATGGAGAGTTTTGAATGCATCGTTTTTTAAATGTAAGTTTACTTAAATGCTCAAGTGATTACATCTAGATGGAAATGGTTTCCAGCAAAGAACGTCCCTGGGCAAAGGCTTATGACGTCAAGCGGCAGTAAATAACATGGCATGTCCGCTAAGCTTCAACAGTGGAAGGCAAGAACTGTTTACCACTGCTAATCCACATGCACTCTTTCCATTACACAGATAAACGTCACACGGGAATAAACTGACTTGGTCGTATTTGTGATTTGTTTATAAAAAATGTTGATTGTATCTTGATTGGCTTTTTTAATACGGCGTGTGTATTTGCGTCCAAATTTCATTTGAAAAAAGATGATCACTTGTGGCCCCTTGCGTAGATATTTTTGTGAAGATTTCGGAATTTGTCATTTCTAGCAGCTTTGCAAACAAGCCAAATACAGCCCACGAACATTTTTAGCCTAGTTATAGTTTTACGTGACCAGTTAATGTCCAGCTGTGAAGACTTTGCTCTTTTGAGACTTTCGAGAGCAGTGCACGGACTGTTCTGGATGTTGCCCTTGGTAATTAGCACAATGTACCGGAACGTGTGTAATAACAAGAGTCCCTAAACTGGTTTGCACTGGCGTATGCAAGCGTTTGAAGTTAAGGCCGACTGAAGTACATAATGTTATGTACTGTGGCCATGCTATAATGGTCATACTCGTTCGATGAAGACGTTGCCACACCCACTTAATTACACCAATGCCTATAGACTAGAAATGTGTATCGCTACAAGAACGGCAAACATCAGTCCTGAAGACTTGTGCAGGGCTGAATGGATGATTTCATGAAGAAATTGTGCAGGGGACTGATGGACACAGCTGGCGAAGGTGAACATTATTTAGTCCGTAATTTGATGGCACAATAATTTTCATTGCCAACTTAAACGTGTTAAAAGGATGATTTGAGGTCTCATCGCTATTCTGTCGTCGGATCCAAATTCTCATCGTGGCTCTTACCTCCATCTTGTCCTCGCTAGTTTTATGGTGTCCTGTGACTTTCCGCTAGATGGCATCGCTGGTCGCTAAGGCACGCGTTATTCAGAATGTCTAAATGTTTTCATAAGCGGAATTGGCGCCTCTAGTGGCTTCATGCACCCAAAACTGAAATAAAACGATGGATTTCACCATTAGATGCATTAATCAAGTTTAATTAATATGGATTGTTACATGCTTAGCCAAAGTCCATTAATGCCGTATTCCACCTTGCTCATACAATCCATAAACGGCGTAGTGAGCATTTGAAATGTCAATCTTATAAAACCGGTTACGGCCTATTGGGAAAATCTCGATCATGGGGTTGACTACATAAAGCACCATTGTTGATAAACTTAATGGCTTTATTTGTTAATGTTACATTTGAAACGAGATACAAATGTTGGCAAACTTTCACCACATATTAATCTTGGTAACTTGTATTGCTGCTACATTTCCTTTTATATTATGGTTATCCCTTTTAAAAGATTATGGAATGAACTTTTACCGAGTGGCTTAGAAAAGTTCCCCCCTCCCCCCTACACCATCACCTGAAAGCGTTTCAGAGGCAGGTAGCGTTGTGATGTCTGCATTTGAGCCATTTCATACGATTAATTGCACTTCGAGATATGGATATTTTGGCTCGTGAAATGACGATGCCATAATCGGTATAGAATTATGGAAAACTACATAAACTTAGATTTCATGGGCCATCGCCTGATTTTTTTTAAATCACAGCTAATTGGCGTATATTTAATTGGAAAGGAGCATTGAGAGGCCACCAGGTGACGCTGCTTCCATTTAGCACAATACACTTCTGTTAAGCTGTGGCATGTCCGCTGGGACGTGCCAACATTTTAGACTCAAGCAAATATCTTTTCTACAAAGTATTAATATTGTAGATTTGGACATCATGTTACTGTAAAATGTCCCAAATACATCTTGTAACTGTATAATGTGCATTCAGTGCCTTAAGTGAAGTAATATCCTGTTGAGGGCCTCTCAAACTCCATCCATAAGCACCAGTCACAGTGCCCCACCGATTCAAATAAATAATTCCAAGATTAAGGTTTACACAGCCGTTATTTCATCTCTTACTCTATGGCTGTGAAACTCGGACCACTTACTGGCGTCACACCAGAAGCTTGGAGAAGTTCCACCAAATCAATCGCAGAGCCATCTTGAAGATCAAATGACAAGAGCGTATCTCCCACGACGAAATCCTTCGTCGTACTTCATGTACCAGCATAAGAGGTCATTATTGTACGCTCACAGCTCCCATGCCTGATAACACATTCCTCCTGCGGAGGGAGCTGGTAGGAACGTTGGGTTGCTCGGTCAATGGCCTGCAGGGTCAACGGCGGCGTGGTGTATTCCGCAAACATGCCCGACTGTGAGGGCGGGCGCAAGCCGGCGTGAGTAGGTTAAACGTTGAGTTTTATAAGGGCACCACGGGGTGACCAGCCCCTCCCCACCCAGCCCAACCCCCCACCCAGCCCCACCCTCCCCACCCAGCCCAGCCCCACCCTCCCCACCCAGCCCAGCCCTCCCCACCCAGCCCCTCCCCACCCCCACCCAGCCCCTCCCCACCCTCCCCACCCAGCCCCTCCCTGCACGACGGACACAATAATCTCCTGTGGGCTGGTGTAACCAGGAGGTTCCTACCAGTAAAACTCTTGCCCCCAAGCGTTCTTTCTCTTGCGAGCTTCAGGACGGCAAGCGACCAGTGGACATTTCCTGCTGTTCTACAAGTCTAAAAAACGAGGAACATTTGAGGCAGTGTGCACCCAATGTGTTGTCCAGATATTGGAATGCCAGCCATGCCAACGTATAAAAACAGCAGCAGCCCCGGTCTCAACGACGACCTGCCAGGACTGGCTCTCTAGGATCGGCTTCATCAGCCACTGCAGGCACCATCGATAATCTACATTCTTCTCCATTTATATCAAAGGACAAAGCTGTGATTATGTGTCTGTTCAAAATGTTTAGCGTACTTCCCGACATGCAACAAACTTGAAATTTGCCATGTGGGTACTTTCCAGACTGTACACCATGCAAACATTAGAAAAAAAAATGTTTGGGGGGGGGGGAGCTCAATAATGCAGAGATTTTTTGCACGGCAAGTGAGCTGTGACGTCACATCTGTCACGTGACCCGCGCACGTGGAAGCGTAACGCATTGTAGTGTAGCGGTTACCTATGCACGCGCGTGCGTTTGTGTGGGGGGAGCGGTAGTGTAGTGGTTAGCGCGCTGCGCTACGAACCCGGCGACCCGAGTTCGATTCCCACTCACGGCCCACCACCGGTGACGATTATTTTAACCGGTCCTGGGCCTCCCTTAGGTCGACTCAACCTCAAACGAGTAACTGGTGTGGTGTGTGAACATCGCCACTGGGGAGACAAAGGCGGCCGGGCATGGTGAATCCAAGTCCCGGGCGAACCCGGGTAGTACAGCTAGTAATTATATAATTATCAAGAATTCTGGTGCATCAATAATGAGGCACGTGCAATGTGTAATTACTCACATTATTTAAACTTATTTAAACTGACAGACATGGAAAGGCAAACCTTGCGGTCATGTACAGGGTGGCCAAGATGTCTTGTGTTCCCCCCCCCCCCATAATTGACTCCAAACATTTTTTCCCATAACTGACTCCAAACATTGTTTTCCTTTCAATATTCATTTATATTTTAAAATAAACCTTACTGTTAAAAATATAAAGTTTTCGAGAATGAAATGGGGGTCACAGGACATCTGGACCACACTGTACATGCTGCAGAACCTCTGCACACAGGTGAATGCAACAAAATGCAACAGCCTCTGCAAACATGAACAGAATGTGATACTGTACATGTTTGCAGAGTAATACTGCAGTGTCATCCTAAATTATGTAATACTTTAGGATGACACTGCTCAGCATAGATGTTTTTTTTAAGGATAATTAAGTCTACTTTCAACTGAAATTCGATAAGCCTTGATAACACACAAAACACACGTCAGCTTTTTTAATTTACTCGAAATGCAAATCACGTCAATAACGTATCGGTTATCGGTCCATCAGTTATATTTGTATAAATAACACCGAATAAATTACCCGCAAGGAGAACATATTACATTTGTTCTTATGTACAGTACTGTAACAAAGGCATCAGTATTACATTAAAATAATGCGAACAATAAGATTAAAACAATGTAGTGCACTTCTAGATTTTTTTTTCAAGCACAAATACCAGAGATGCACTTGTCTCCGCATCAAACATCAGGCATACAAAAGCCTAAACGCATGAAGCCCAAGATGTAATAGACATGTTTAAATATAATCGATGGATATTACTGTGGGAACAAAAAATGCGATTGGCCTTGTGCGCTCAACGACCGTGCCAACTTGCTCAACAGATGGCTCTTCTTGAGCATGTTCTACCCCAAAAAAATACACATCGTCCTACTTGTCAAATGCTGATGGTTTGGGCCGCATTATCAGAGGGGCTTTAAGGGATGCATCCCAGGGCCTGGATTCTGAAAGGCTCCCAAAATCTGTACTTCTTTACAATGTCTGAAATAATACTATCGATTTAATGCTTTCGTGACTGCAGGGATTCATCTTCTTGGTTCTTTCGGTAAAGTCACGTAGAAGGGAAATAATAAAATAATAAAAATAAAACAAAATACAATTCTCACGACGTTTCAGCCACAACGCAAGCAGCCATCCTCAGGTGAAGAACAGGGCTGTCAGAAAGACAGCGTCCGAATGAGCGTCATTTTATTTTATTATTTCCCTTCTACGTGACTTTACCGAAAGAACCAAGAAGATAATACTATCTCCATGACATAACCTGACAGGTAAATAAGTAATTAATTCCACAGGATCACGACGTGTATTCCAAACCAGTTACAGTATGTTCTGAAATACAATAGTATTTTTTTTATGCGGCCACACAATTCGCATATCAAATGTAAAAATACTAAAATAACCAAGGTAATAACAATTGAGTGTTTGACATCAAAAGCATGGCTGGTGATAAAAGAGTAAGGAGAATACATTGAATTTATCCGAAGCTGCAACAGCTTCAGGCCTCCCTAAAAATAAATCTGGCCCTGATAATGGTGATGCTCGTTGTTGTGAACTAAAATCTGGTTAGAATTTCTGTTAAATCCCCATCTCAAAACTGCATTCAAAGCCATAAGCTACACCCCAATCACATATAAGTTTCTCGAGATTTAGCTCTTGTGCAATTGAGAACCTTAGGTGACAGTTTGATGTGGAGGCTTTATACTGTGCAAAGCAAATACATTTAATTAAAGTGCAACAATGTTGAAAACAACGAATCCCATTTTCATTTCCTTCTCATTACCATCAAACAACCGATTGTAGACCTAAAACAAACTTTCTCAACACAAGTGAACCGTTTCTCGGTGCTGCATTCATGTGCATTCAACTTTAGATTACATTCTGTATTATTTAGTATTTTACATTTTAATATACAGTAACCACTCCAGCAACAAGCACACACACACACTCTCCATGACCTTTTTTGCTGTTGGCTTGAGTGATTTTAAACTATATTTCTTATTTTTTCATTAAATTCATAATTTTTCTGGATTTAAAACAAAAAAGGGCGCATGGACATTATACTTTAAAAAATACTGATAAACTTAAGAACCGAGTGAAAATGCACATATGGAGTGAGCTGAGTTCAGTTGCTAGACAATGTGCAGGGCCAGTTTCATATAGGGCATTTGTGCCATTTTGAGTGCCAATTCAACTGGGATAGAGCCATTCATACACAAATGATTTCTTCTCCCAAAAAACTATCCCAGATGGATACACAGCAATAGCAGTAAAGCTAAGAGCTCACTCCCACACCAACGACAACAAAGTTACTGCATGACTCAAGCAGTAGCAAAATATTGCATAAAAGTAACATCTGCACATGGCCTATATTGTAATTAAAATACTGATGAAAAAGCCACCGCACATTTTGGCTAAAAGATTATAACTGAATGCAGATATAAGCTATTGTGTATTAATTAAATACATGGAAACAAGTGCCATGTAAAACCATCCTGATGGGCAAAGAGAACTTCAGCATAGATAGAAGACGAAACAAAGGTGGGTGATGTAGAAAAAAGCAAATAACTGCTTGTTCCCAAGCTGAAACTGGTGTTTGGGGAGACATTTTGGTTTAACTTTTGAACTGCATCACTCCAAAAGCAAATATTTGTTTCTGGACATGGTGACAAGCAAATAAACTTAAATACCTATCACTTTCTGCAAATTTCACATGCAGGTGGCGACCGGACAAAATCGAGGATTACCCAACACTCTTACAAACCTGAACATGTCACCCTATAACCATGCTTGTAGAGAGAGGGGTAGGCTAGGGGGGGTTGGGAGTATGTGGGGAATTTGCCCTGGGCCTCAGAAATCAATTGTATTTGGCCTGAAAAACGTTTCGGTGGCCATGCTTATGTAATGCAGCACTGTGACCTTAACTGTCAATCAGCGCCTTTGTTCTGAAAACAGAAAAAACTGCAAAGCATTCATTAATCTCTCATTTGCTGCAAAATCCTCTCCATGGCACTCGGGCAAAATGGAAGGCCCCTTCCACACACAAGCAAATTGCATAGCTACACGGGAAGCTCTCCGCCTACATATGCAATGGTGTGAAGCTGTAAACTACGCCTATGGAATGTTGCATGTGGAATGCAAACTCGCGTACCCATGTACATGGTAGGCTGACGAATTTTAAACGGTTTTAGCGCATACCGATTTCCAAAGCAAAAAACGTCCAAAAATACAGGTTTTTGTTATATATAAAGCTTTCAAATGATTAGTTTTGAAAATTGGTTTGCAGCAATGGTAAAACACATTGGCAGCCTGCCACTTAAAGCGGTAGGGTTGGCAAGTATGGTCACGTAGACTTTTCACGTGGTTAGAGAGCATCGGGAGCTCTTTAAATCCTCTTTATCCAACAAAAGTTAAATTCTTTCTTCAGATGCATTTTGGGGACGCTGTCGCTTAGATACCTATGAATCTGAAAGATGTGCCCTCTTCCCACCCCTACCAAGTACTGTGTAGTTTCCGTTGTCATGTTCCTCAATATGACGGCTTTAAACCGATGGTGAAATAAATCAATTCAACTCCATGGCACGGGGAATTGCACCAGCAGACAATTTAAATATGGTTCTACATTTTTGATGTCCAATTTGTCTGCTTCAATTTGTCATGGTCCTCTGCAAAAGTACTTTCATTCTCACAACCTTCATTCCCACAATTGACAGTCTACATTTGTTGTAATCGGCCAATCTCAGATCAAAGCAACCAAATGTATTCAACACGTTAACATATTTGACAATTATCTCTGGAGCCATTGCATGAGTTCAACATAAATCTATAATAGTTCAATGACTGCTAGTATTTAAACTGTGTATTTCTGGTCCATGGAAAATACTTGAATGTAACTCCAATAAATAACGTAATTTTCACTGTCAGGTCTTGGTTGTGTCTCCGAAAGAGTTTTACAAAGCACACACAAGGTCCAGCAGCACATAGAGCAGTCTCTCTGTAGTAGTTGTGTGGCATGCGCCATGACCTTTATGCTACAGCGGAAATCTCGGGGGATGGGGGTCAGGTGACGGAGGGTAGCGGGCACTGGCACTGGGGGTAAGAGCAGAGGAGTGACTATGGACCGGCCCATCAGGTGATTTCCCAGTGTCAGCAAGACCGGGGCTACAGGTAGTCGTCCTCACTCGTTTCGGACTCGTCCGTCATGACCACGGTCTCAGATATTGCATCGCCTTCGCCGTCGCCCATGCTCTCTCCATCTATCAGTGCTTCATGTCTCTGTTCAACAAACAAAGGCATCAATTGGCTCATGCACGAAACACATTTTACACATGCATTGATTACATACACATTTATCTCAGATTATTCTAAATCTTGTGACGAAACCCCATAGTCTGGAAATTTATTCTGCCTAGCCAGTCATGTTATTGACTCTCTGACCCTGTTCAATTTCAGGCTCAAGACCTTGCTTTCTCCTGTCTATGACTACCACGTTCCCTCTATAAAACAAATGTTCCAACTGTTTTTATACAGTGTCTTGCGATAAGGCTGCATTTTAATGCTAAATATAAATTTCACGTACTCTATTGCACATGTTTAGTGCCTACACACTCATATTTTTAACCTCAGCATAATCAAGTGTTTTTCATTCCTCAATGACGTTTATTCCTACACTTTTGTAAGCAAGATATACGTTTCATTTATAACCTCTTTCCTGAAGACGTAGCACGAAGCGAGAGCCACCATGGCAGCCTCCCCGAGGAAACCAGCGAGGAGGGAACCCACACCTAACGGGGCTCCGTGCACCCTGCAATAGCACAGCACGCACGCCCCAATCATCAGCATCATCACGAGCAGCATCAGCAGCAGCAGCAATATAATTTCCATATGGTCCGCACTCGAGTTGACAATGACCTCTTACATCACTGCCACTATTGCCTCCATTTCTAGGCAAGATATGAAAAAGTATGTTTATGTGCAGTTAATATTTTGCAAACAGAAAATCCAAGAAAAGACAGCAAAATATTGCAGAAAAAATCACCGTACACCAACGCTGTGTGCAAAAATCCCAGTGGGGATGCAAGTCAAACAACAACAACAACCACAAGACAACTTAGATTAAGGCCATCAGTCTAACTCTGTACTATGAGCCAATACTTGCTTAAAAAAGGCTTTGTAAATAGGCATGAAGATTGCACCCCTGTTCTATGACACCAGGAAGGGACCCATTGTGAATACCACACCCGAGGTAGGGCAGCACCAGGAGGCTTGTGATGAGGAGGATCATGCGTAGGATGGAGCTGGGTGCCAGCACCCGCGTCTGCTTCAGAGTCATGAGCCAGCCCGTGAGGTGCGCCCTCACCGTCACTGCCGCAAGAAGCACACACCGCCACTCAGGGTGACGTGAACGACGACTTACGGATAAAGACACCAAGAGATAAATAGACGAAGAGCCAGATGAGCAACGTTGTAATTATCATGCTGCCAGGTGTTCATGTTCTAAGGCGACCATGTCACCGCTTCATGGATGTGCATGTATTTCCTTGGGGCCAATGGTAAGTAGCGTGCAGTGTATATATTTTTAAAATAAATTTGCTCATGCTCTCAGACTTCATGTGCTGACTGAAAAGCTGATGTTTCACCTATTCCCTTACTCCTCCCCCAGCGGCCAAAAGCATGTCGAGAGCAATAATACAACAAGATTAGTTACAGGTGGTTGAAATTGCCTCAGGGAAGTGTCACATAACTCATGGTAAATGTTTGATGGTAAACATGTTGTGATAATACAGCACGAATGGAACATTCAGTTCTAAATGTCGTATAAATTTGTCACTGATGAGCATGTCCATGGCCAAAATTACAATACCATCATGCATCGTGAAATGCAACTCCTATGCATCGATACATCTAATATAGCACACTATTGCATTAAGCTAGACATGCCAGTATTTGAATAAAAATGTTTAAAACCACAGCCAGGGTTGATACAGGTTGATACAAAGTACATTGAAACTTTCCGGCGGCACATTTAATTTTTATGCACTCGGCACATCACATCCATCACACCTCTCGCTTTGACTGTGGCCACTAGCCACGTGCCACCTACTCCAGGTCACCAGCAAACCTTGGAAAACATTCCGTGAGAATTTAAGAGCTCTGAATCCCAACCTGTTGAAAGGGTTGTTAGACAACCACTTGCCAGAGAGCTTGAGCTACTGGAAATATTACCTGGGAACGGAAAAAAGGAGAATATCCTGAGAGGAATGATGCAGCTGTTGGCGAAGGCGTCGTCTACCCCAATGAAGGTGACCAGGATCCCATCGGGGAGACCCGGGCTCCAGAAGAGCACCATGCACAGCTGTGTACATTTCACAGCACACACACGTGGCAACAAGATCTCTACAATGACACGCACACACCAGCGTCTATTCAATGTTTACCTTTCCATTTGTGCAAGTTTATCATTGTTGGGCAAATTCACGATTGATGATAGCATCCATGGACACAAATTAAATACTGGCTTGGTAAGCCGGTATTTTCTACGCCTAACATCGTTTAAAAGCACAGTTAGGGTCGGAGTGCAGTGCGATTCATTTTCTGCATTAATGTGGGGGATTAATTGGTCACTGAATACTTTAGGGGTTGCCTGCAGACGATAGTAGACATCTGACTAGTAGCCACAACCATATATAAGACGTGGGTACACTGGACATGGTGCGTAAGGTGAGGAAATATTTTCAAGATCACAGACCCAGACAGATCCGGTATAAATTAAGCCCTGATTATAGTCAACTTCACATGTTTCTTGCCAGCGCAGGGGTTGGTGAACTGTGTTATGAACCCCAGTCATGCCTAACATCAGTCGTGAGTGACATCTGAACCAGCACTGGGTTACCACTTCACCAACCAACACTGACCAGAAAGGTGAAGTATGGTCAAATAACCCTCCTGCCCGACATAGTGTGTGGGGAGGCCTTCATGGAGTGGTGGATTGACAAAGAACCGTAAATGACATGAAGTTACATATTTATAGACTTAGAAAACTTACTTAATCAGGTAATAAAAAAAAATCATAAACAATCAACGCAACATTTTAGTCCATAACCAAGCAGCATTTATTTAAGTAGGAAAACTCTCAATCAGTTTCAACTTTCAGATTCTCATCAGCAGTGTTAGACCTGTTTAAACAAAACTGCTTGGTTGCTAGATAGTATTGTCAAGAGCACTACAAGACCACCATGTGACTCACACAGCAGTAAATCTGAACAAAAAAACTCATTATGTACTCTTTTGGAGGATTTTATGGGAAATTAAATAGCAAACATACATGAGCCTAATGTATTCAGATGTTATTTTATTTTCATGTGGATAAATAGACTTTTGTATTTTCAGAATGATATATTCATAATACATTTGCTCACTTACAGGCGCTTATTTAGCACTCTGGCCAACCATGCATTTGGAATGCATTTTCTTGCCTTTAGAAGAGTAATTTAGCTCATAAAGGTACGTTTTGAAGGTGCTAGCATGCGGTTATGTATAAGAATACTGGTAAAGGTATAACTATCGTGTTCATATTGTTCATTCTGCAGATATTCTCCAAAATACATCTGCAAATTAGTTTTTCAGATTTATCACTTTTGATGTTAGCCAAGTAAATCGTAATCGTTTACGTAACCAGTAGATTAAATAAACCCATTGAGAGACTAAAACATTGCGTCTTGTTCAGGGATCACCTGGGTCACATCAAGTAATTTTAAGTACACAGAATGTTGAAAAAATATATTTAATCTAATGTTATCTACCTGCCTTAACTTAATAAACATGCACAAACATGTTTTAGATTTTTCAACATTTACAAAGGGACAGACAGCCTTTAGAAATGCAGACAGAGACGTTTGGCTCGTGGGCAGAAAAGAATCCACAACTCGTGCGATGCATAGCCAATTTTCAGTGGAGAAACGAAAACCTCATTATAAACGCATTAAGGCAAGTTGTGCTCAACAAATGAAAATAGCTTGCAGCCATGCGGCGGGGTGTTCACGCACTCACCGTGAAAGAGATCGCTAGGCAGACAAGCGTGAAGTTTTTTATTTTGGCTGGGTTGACGTTACAACTTGTCAATGTTGACTTGTTACTTGGGTTGCTCTGAAAACATACCAAACATACGTTCATATTCTGATCGCTGTATTAGATTTAACCTTTTTGTGGTTTTACAAATATATTTAACTGTTCCATTTAGCATTTTTGTAAAAGAAAATCAACATGTAAAATGAAGCTGTAATCTGATCAGGAATGTAAATACCCAAATGAAAAGAGTCCCACACATGACCTACATTAAAACAAAAACTTAGGATGTCTATTAAAAAGGTACTCTTCCAATTGATATCACAAGTTTGCATGACAATACTTGCAAATACAAAAATAAGTTATGAACTATATCAGCCAAGTCACCATCACATTCTGTGTTTAAACCAAATTTGAGAGCTCCTAAATGTAGAAATCAAGTGATGTACAAATCTCAAGTGGATTGTATGTCCTAGAATTTGTTCCAAGTCAATAAATACAACTACTCATTGTCACGTGTACGGCTCACATGGTCAGAGCGCTGAGCTGCCATCTTCAAGACCTTACGTTTGAATCTAGGCAGCCATCTGTGATCAAACCAGGTTCTCAAGTGTAACGAGTTGATGATCTCAGCGCACATCACCAATGATTGCACAAAAACTACCAAATAACTTTGGTCCTGTACTTAAGTTTGGTACAATTCCAGCTGTGAAAATATTGGTTTCATTGCGATGCAATTCGCATCACTCTCAGTGGCAGGGCAGGTGGGGAAGTGCTGCCTCCAACTACGTGGAACAGAGGTCACTTGAACAGACGTCAGATGCACCTCTTTGAGATTCGCTCCTGTGCGCCGTTCCCTAACACAAAAGGGTTGCACTGCTCTGCAAGATGTTGTGAATGGATTCTTCATCTCGGGAATTAACACCAATAGCACAATTGGGATCAAACTTAGAAAATTTTTTTTTAAATTACATAACAAAAGTGCGATAACATCTTGAGGAACCCGATTGGGTGAGGGGTAGACAGGTTGCTCGTAGACTCGTCGGCAATGTTTTATAAGCTTGTATAGAAACAACATAGGCTTCCAGTGTACCTTGTGGATGTTTTATAAGCTTGTATAGAAACAACATAGGCTTCCCGTGTACGTTGTGGATGTTTTATAAGCTTGTATAGAAACAACATAGGCTTCCCGTGTACCTTGTGGAAGGCGGGGTAGAGGGCACGCAGCTCGGTGAGCCAGCCGTATGGCATGTGGCCCACGGGATATGTGGCAGTAAGCACCGCCACCGCCTGCCCCAGGGAAGGAAAAACAACAAGAGATGGCGACGAGACGTTAGCAGCATCAGCACGGCTTTCGTCAGTTAATAACGTTCAGGAAATTATTTGTGAAATCTCTTGCTTTCTCAGTTGCAGAACGGTTAATGCCGATGTGGAATGATAAGTTATCATACCACTTTGCAGTGATTTTCACAGGAGAATGAGACATTTTATGAACATTTGTATCTGGAAGTTTAATCCGCATTTTGCAATTAAGAATTCGATGATATTACAAGTTTATAAAAGAAGTTTACATCTAAATTGACCTCATTAGACAATTGTATTGTGATCTACCACAGTTTTTTCAGCTAAAGTGTATATCATTCAAAGACAATACAATGTGTTACATATACAATACCTTAGCGTTATTGGAATGAATGTCACAATTAACAATCGGATTAACTAATGTCGAGTCGGGATTCAAGTTAATTTTTCCCATTGTGAAGTGTGTTCATTATCTCGTGACCATAGCATTTAAGTGAAGCCATTACACATTATATACACAAAAGCAAAAACAATAAACGTAACACACATGATTGAATGCATTTATCGTAAGAATATAGAGGATTTTAATCATGAATCGATACATGCCTACTTATTAAGGAGAGTAAACTAGTACTTATAATGACACTATATTATTACAAAAAAGTTTTGCTGGCTGGCGCATAGGCGGGCAAATGTACAGTGTTGACGTCATTGTGCACATCTGCGTTATGACGTCAGCTGCAACCAGAGCCGTCCCTAGAGAACGGCGAATTGGGGTGACCGCGCCGGGCCTCGCACTTTTCGACATCATGGTGTCAAATGTAATACTGTCGTTCCGGTTATATATGAATGCGTCGGAGGGCCCACACAGTACGGTTTGCCCCGGGCCCTGCACCCCACTATGGATGACCCTGCTCTGCATTCCAGTGTTGAGTTAGGTTCGTGCGTGTTGATGTCACGCCTCCTGCCCCACCCACCCTCCACCCCGGCCGTGTATCCCACCCAAATGTACGGGCAGTGCTAGTGTCATAAAAAAATATAAGAAAATTAACCGGGCAGCTGCATCAGTAATAAAACATTGTAATGTGCATGTGTAAGGTTGTGTAGTACATTAGCTGTGCAGGTGCTAGGCTGCCAACCTCCGTGGCAGCATGCGTGCCCCCCAGGTCCCGAGAGACAAACAGGTTGACTATTGGCCGGCTGATGCGCTGAGTGGCCAGTATGAGCGCCAGTGGCCACCAGAAACTGAGCATCTTGCGCACGGTTGCCTCACCCTGCAGGCACAGTCACACAGACGTGAGCAACGTCACCTCACTTGAGACCACACCAACTCCCCAACAGTCAAGACAGGCAATCATCTATAGACAGGGAATATTTATCAATCGATTTCATTAATCAGCCTCGGCAAGGCTGGTTCCTTGCCTTGGATGCCATTCTGTCACCATTCAAGTCCAGTGGCGATGTGTCCTGCCAAAGCCCACTTGCTTTCCTTAAGTCAATAAAACACTCGTAAATGGTCAAAAAGAGAATTAGCTAAAGACCTAAAGTGGAACCATCCTGAAAATTAGTCTTAATCCTGACAGTTTAATGAGTAAAGACATTATTTATTAAATATGTTTATTAACATTATAATATAAGGTCGAAGACATATTACAGTACTTGATTGTTTTTATCATGCATTTTTGACATGTGCCCCTTTATATTTTGCACAGCTCCTGTGAGTAGAACTGTATGTTGAGTTCAGAGGCAAAATCAGCGTCAAACAGACTAAGGCTAAATACATTACAATAGTCAGTGTAGCGTAGGGAACAATAGACATCTGTAATACCCAAACTCAGCAATGACAAGTGTAGAATATTTAAATAACAATGCTAGTAGATTTTTCGTTTACTTTCCCTAATTTAGTTAATGAAAAACAAATTGTTATTTGAATGTATACTTTTAGAAATGTACCATTGGCTTGCTCTAGAAAACTATCTTGAATAATAAGCATTAGATTATTTTTTCAGCCTTGCCGCTGTGGCTTGGCAGAATTCACTAATCTCCTATTTGACTTCCCTACCCACGGTTTAATCCCTGTCCTTGACTTAGTCCAAGCTCCATGTGTCTGTTGATTGCTGTCAACAACAAATATAGCTTGGAGCACTATATCCCATGATGAGGCCCTGAACAAATACTTCATAGACGTATTGGGACAAAATAATTATTGGTGGGACTCTTCCTTGACATATTATTACTGAACCAATTCTAACTCTGTAAGTAATAAGATACTCGTCAGACAGAAAATGTTACTACAGGCTGGAAGTACGTACAATTATTTGTGCAAAATGTGATTTGTCGATAGAAAAATGTGTGATTGGGACCATAGGTCCTTCCAACATGACTTGTATGTGATATGACATCACCATAATGCTTGTGTAATGCACACACCATTGTTTTAGACGAGCAAATAAAAAGGGTAGAAATGTTGTCCAAATTATTTTAGACGGCAGCAGGGCAAGAACAATTGCCATTATTACGAGTACAGAACCCATTGTTCTGCAACATAAAATGAGACAGCTTTTCATTTTCAATCTTCTCACAAACCTGTACTCAGAGCACTAAAATTAATCAGCTTTTAACTCAATAAAATGCCAAGATAATATGCATTGTGATGCTTTGTTAATATTCTCCAGTATTTAAAGAATAATCTGGCAAAACAATTATATTTATGGATGCACATTTTTTTTATATTAGAGCAATTTTAAATTAACCGTGTCAGTCTTCTGCATTCGTTTCTCCCATCTCTTCGTTGTCGCTATTATATGGCTTCCGAACTTCTTCCACCGTTTCGTTGGCAATGGTCCGCAGCCACTAACAAGAGTCAATGTTGGGGTGGGGAGGAGACTAGCCAGCACCCAGCCAGGAAACTCAAGGCATAGATTATTTTTAATAGTGGAACGATATCACTGAACTTGCAACCTTTGGTAATGATGTAAATATTCCGTCCCCAAGCAAATGAATTCATCACTTTTTTGACATCAGGTAATAAGAAGAACACGTACGCAGACAATACAGACGTTATTAATGCGTTCATAGCTGAACAGGTAAGCGATAGTTGGCACAACTCAAGTTTGCCAAAAATGGACAAGTCAGCAATTTTTATGCCACGTGCAGTGATACCGCCTTGCCTGCCGCCCCCCTATCACGCCCGGCACTGCCACACTCACCGTGTCCGCGCCGGCCCGCTGCGGGAGGAGGTGGTGCACCTTGGTGTAGTACGCCAGGCACAGCGTAGTGAACCTGACGAGTGAGCCCATGTAGAGTGCCAGCACTGGGATTAGCATAGGCTCAGCACACTCGAGCCGACTCTGCAGGAACACAGCCACGAACACCACCTGGGGAGGACGAGGTCATGTGAACGGAAAACATCGCCCACAAAATCAATGCCCACGCATGTATTGTATGGGGGCAGGCTGTCGTGGTGGGGTTTACTACATATCTTCAAGGAAAAAAACTTTGAACGATTTTAGTGCTTTGTTTATACACATGGGTCAAGTGGGCAGGTGTCAAAATCAATTCCGCACATGCACATTGCATACGTCTCTGTAGAGCAACGAGGATGTGCTGGGATGAAGTGATGGCATAGCCGAGTGGGGTGTGCTATGCAAGGGGTCTCTCGCCTGGGCACAGACGTCAGAGAGGGAAGCGCAGCCCACGATCAGGCTGTGTTTGTGCTTGAGCAGGATTCCTGCATGCGTCCATGCCTGAGCAGTACAAGCGAAGGGCAGCAGTCAAAACAACAGCATAGGAAGTTGGCCTGGTGGCTATGTCTCAATGCTAAGCTGGCACCGCTGAAATCCTGGGTCCTCAAGTGGAGTGAGTTTTATTGTTTCAGCCCAGTCACCAATGACCTGACAATAAAATCCATTATATTAAATTTGGTTTACACTTCTTTTGGCAAAATTCAAGCTCTCAGAATGAAAAGTATCAATTTGACTGTCGTGTAACGAACGTTACTCTTTAGTGGGACAGATGTGAAAATGCTGCCCCCGAGTGTGGAGAAGAGGTCACTTGAGTTTTCATGATCAGTTCTGTGACATTTCTTTTCCCGTACTGTTCTCTTCCATGGGAATATGTTCTGCTCTATGAGTTCCAAAGCATTCTTTTCTGATGCAGAACAAATGGGATAACTTGGGTAAAAAAAATGTAGAATAAAATCAACATCAGAGGAATGCAGTCTACTTATTTATTATTTAAATTTACTTTACACTGAAGTCCTATCATCATAAAACAGAGTCCTACTATTAGAATGACACATAGAACAAGGTCGTGTGACATTGGTATTGTTTACAAAAATTCCATGTGTAAATGTAAAGTGGTTGTCAAACATACACAATGGCTTCTCTACATGAAACACGCTTTCTGTAACTTTTCCTTTTGGCAGTCAACTTAAAAATGCTGAACTATAAAAACTTAAATGCAGTCCATGTCCAATTGTTAAGCTTTATTAATTGGTTATTGTTTGATTGTGGAGCGTAATTAATTAGTCGATGACCATCTAACATTCAAATGTAGCAGGGGAACATTTCTGTAAGATATGGGACAGAGGATCAGTATATATTGGGGCTGTCATGGGTGGGTGGGTGGCTGAATGCCTCTGCCGGATGAGATGTGCTTGCCAGGCCGGGAACGCTATTTCAAAACATAATGGAACTCCGGGAAATTCTGCGAAGTGAACGCCAATTGTAAATGTCAAGCATTTATGCTTGAGAACATATATAATTTGTTTCTATTTAATGTCTAAATGCAAGACGTTGTGGGAGCTTGAGGGAGGTGCACGGAGAAAAAAAAGAGGTGTATTTAAACAATACATCTTATTTTAAGTAGCAGACTGCAATATGAATCTGGTTCCTGAGTTATATTCCCAGCCATGGCTAAAGTCGGTGGTGAATGGTACCTAACCTACTCCCGTAAACCGCCCTTCACCAACCCACACTGACCAGCGTGTTGCAGTATGGTCAAACAACTACCATGACCGACACGGAATGGAAAGGCTCCCATCCAGTAGTAAAATGACAAAGGGATATACATTTACGGCTTATATTTTCAAGAGATTCAGGCATAAATATAGAATAGGTCTTCATTACCACAAAGCATAACTCCCCAACACGCATTGGCTGAAGGTTCTTATAACTCTCACATTTTTTAAAATATGTTTTTATTGGGACAATGTTACATCACGTTGTGATGCATGTACACACTTTCAGCAAAGCCAAACCGGTTATGAAAAGGAAGGGAAGCCAGATGAGGAACGGGCTAGCTTTTTTTAAGGGGGAAGGGATGACAAGGGCTAACTCTCTCATCTTAATGAGAGGACCTCCACTGCTCACCAGTGCATCGATGAGCGGGAAGGCGGCGAGGTACAGAAAAGCCTGTCTTGTTTTCGTGCCCACCACCCCATCCACATGGTGTAGGCGGTTGATGATGTAGTAGCCCATATCCGTATAGGCTGCAAAAGGTGGAAAAGTTAGATTCCTATAAATTATACTGGTTTCAGACAAATTATATTTATGCCGACTTTTTCAGAAAAATAACACAAAATCTAACATTTAGGCGTTATGAGAACAATTTTACAAAAGGAAAAAAAACATTCAATAAAAATCATTCAAGTTTAAGAAATTACATCACAGCAATTGCTTTCAAGTAACCACTTAGGATCCAAATGATATTTAGTTCCCATTTAGTTATTATCTAATAATGCATATAAACTCTTCCTTAAATGTTGAGAATGTAATTACCAACCCACACATTACTGACACTTTACCACAGACGACTTATTAATTTGCTTGTTAAATTGTTCTATTTTAGCACTTTAATATCACATTAGGAGAACTACCGTACATGTGTCAAACGTATTACTCAGGGAAAGACTAATTATTCACAACCACAAATGTTTATTCAACTCTAGCTTATCAGCTCATCATCGCGAGGAGCCCGACATTTCTAATCATTGCTGACCAATCATAACGTTACGATAGTCTGACACCTCTGCTGACCGATGAGCATGTGGAAGAGGGCGGCCACCACGCCCGCCGTGGCCATGCAGCCCAGTGCCTTGGCACGGTCCCGCCGGCTGTTCACAAACACCAGCCCCACGTTCTTGAAGTCGCTCATGGGCCCCGTGAAGAATTTCATGAGAGAGTAAGCAAGCCCATAGCTGGCCAGCATCTCTACCGAGCTGCGGTTCACCGCCGCGATGCCACGATTCAAAGCCTGCAAAACAGATTTTTTTTTTGGCATGCGGTGTAGATGCACAAGTATCAAACACATATACAAATTTTACTCAAATTTGTTTTAGTTTAACAGCAGTTGTCTCACTCAGCTAAACATTTTGGAGGGAGAAAATCATTTTGAGAAAACAAATGTATATAAAGTTTATTATATAATATGCAGAAATATGCATACACAATGATTAGTTATTTATGATACATTTATAAAACACACAACAAACAAATAAATTGGGTGCGGTGAGTTACTGCCTCTCAGGTGCACTTCTCGTTTAGAGTACACGGTGGACAGGACAACAGTATTTGTACACTTTAAACACCGACGTTGACAAACAGCAATGCTGAAATTACTCGCTGAAGAAACATATGAAGTAGGTGTAATCACAATAAAGTGAACTTCTCCATGCATTGAAGTAGAGCGGAGTATTAAGAATATGCCTCACTGATGGCTCAAAACTTGCGTACAGCTTAATCTGTAATTCCCTAACGTCGCTAAGAATTGGAAACTTTCATAAGCTAAGAGTTTTCCAAAACAATATTGATGTATTCCATCAATTACCTTGTTTAGCAATACAATGTGAAAATGTTTTATTGCATTTTTTACATTGTTGTTCTAAAACGTCATTTGCATTCCCACGTTAGAATTAAACTCATGGTGTGCAACATTTCATCAAGTTAGGTGTCAGTGAGCCTGAATGAGATAATGGCATAAAGATTGCATTTGACAATCACTTAGCCAATGCCTGGCATGTGCGCGTAACTAAATAAACGAGGATGTAAACTTCCAACTCTGCATTATGCTGCACTCAAATCATCTTAATATAGCAGCACTGTTCATGGGTGTTACTATTTACATTTTCATATGTCATCCATAATGAATGATTCTGTTAAATTAAATTGGCAGGTGTAATGTGTTAACGTAATATAAATATAAAGTGCCATTGTAGGCAGCAATACGCTTATCACAAGTAATGTCCAAGGTCAGGCATTCAAACTTGCATACAGTGACACTGTCTTCAAATGCCCCCGCTCTTTCCAATGAACGTTATAATCCTGCAGTGAAATCCAAGCTTCTACTGATGTTTAAGTGTAGCGAGTTGATAGTGTCCACCTGGTCACAAGTGAGTACGCACAAAAAAACAAATCATGTTAAATTAAATGTTTTACTTTATTTGGCTTATTCCAGTTCTGAAACGTAAGCATTTTGGTTCATTGACATGTGATGAACACTCTTTGAAGGGCATTAAAAGGTTTCACTTAGCAAGTATAAAGAGTGATATTTAAGTGACCTCTGAAGTAGTTCTGTGATCTGATATCTTGAGGAAGTTCTTTGACAAAAGGAAATGCACCGTGAGCTTAAAAGGTTTGAATGTCTATTGCTTTGCCACGTGACATAACCAATCTTGATTTGAAGCTTTCGTGACTGCAGGAATCCGTACCCTTTGGTTCTTTCGGTAAAGTCACGTAGGTGGAAAAAATCATAAATCACGTTTCGATCGCAACACAAGCAACCATCATCAGGTGTGAAACAAACACATCAGGAGGACTGCTGTCCTCCTGATGACGGTTGCTTGTGTTGCGATCGAAACGTCGTGATCTATTATTTTTTTATACCTACGTGAATTTACCGAAAGAACCAAAGAGTATGGTATAACCAATAAGACAATTGGAAGATAACTGGGAATTTTTGTTATCTAAAAAAAAACAAAAATGCCAGCTTTAATTTAGCAAAAAAAATATTTTATAGTAAGCCAGTGTGGAAACGTTTTCAGATGTTGAATCACTCCCATTGTGTAGTATTCTGAAATGTCTTTCTGCTGACAATAATGATGTCACCCAATGCCACATGCCACTAGTTCTATTGCGGGAAAACAGCGAAAGTGGCGCGATATAAATAATGTCACTTCCGATTTATGGATGAATTCGAAATAAAATGCTTGGGATAGTTAAAAAATGTGTATCCTGATTTTTTTAATTGGATCAATCTGCAATCGGGCGCACACCACTCATAAAAAAACCACTGAGAAAAGTCACTCTCTCCATATTAAAATTTAATGTTTTAGTCCACAGCCTTTGTGCCTTCAGGAATAGTGTACCGGTAATCCAACATAATTTAAGCAGCACATTGCTCAAAGAGCCTGCAGGCTTACACACATTTAGATAAAGTAACTTTGTGTTGTTGATCTAATTAACTGTATTTGTTTCAATGTATTTACTTATAATCTACTGTTTGTCATTAGTTAGTAGGTCTAAATGATAAACTAGACAAGTAAGCTTCTTAAGAACCACTTGCAAATGCTTCCCAAGATGTACATTCAAGCAGTGAATACAGTAAACTGTATTGTAAAGTACATGTCCGTCTTTCATATACTGTATATGAAGGCCTTGTATAACCTAGGTTTAATAAAAAAGGGATGTTTAGCCACTTAATGACTTACTGCTAAGCAACAAAGCTCTGGGGATAAGCCATTTAACCTTAAGACCCAGAAGAGGGTATCTAAAAATGGATCAGCACTATTACAATATGTTCCATGTGCTGAAGGGCAGCAGTGCGTGGTAACGTGCATAATCCTATTAATTAAAAAAAATGTAAATAACATTTGCAAAAGCTTCTTAGAATTAGGGGTGGCAATTTATAACTGTGTGCTGCCTATATTATCCATTTATTATTAAAACGAGATTAAAGTGGATAACGCCAGGGCACTTTGAGTTACAAATGTTCCACAAAAGAACCTACTCTACAGTGTTTTGGATTGGTCTTAGTGGTAAGGTAAGGGTTGGTAACTTGTCATGCTTTTATGTGTTATATGTTGCAGTAATGCCATGCAAGCAAAAAGTAGTCAGCAGACATACCAGACACCAACAGAACAAATTAACAATTTACAGAGCAGATCCATGCATAATCCACAAAGGTCACCATCTTTCGAATTTTAAGAACAGGATGTATGTTAAGAATTAATGGCCGCATCTGTTTGGTGTCTGTAATCGTGCTGTGATGGAGGGACATGGACATTTAGTCACAAGTATTGTGTGCTTCATGTTGGTTCACCACCATCTGCTGCTACCCAAAGGTAATAAAATCTATTAAGCGGATATGGCTGCTTCACATATCTGTTCCTCCACGTAAACAAATATATATTTGTTCACATCTCATCAGCCACATGGCCTTTCTGGAGCGCATAATTTCAGCAGCATTGGTTCAACACAAGCAAACTCTGGGCCAATTTTGACATTCAATGTTTAAATAGCAAACCAATGCTGGTGACATGCCTCATATTTATGGCTGATGTAATGTGTAAAAAGTACTTTTAGTTTTTATGTTGGACAGATATGCGAATGAGACATTGTCTGCTTATTAATTTTGTTACTTATATTCTCCAAAACGCTTATGAATATTGTGTTATGTACCCAAAATGTGTTCAATTTTGGGGGAAATGGGGACAGTTAGCTGACCAGAATGGGGCAATTTATTTTGCACTTCAGCATCTTGGACACCTAGTACCCTATGCTGGAAATAATATAAAATGTGGTTTAAATGTTATTACCCAGACCCCACAAATGGAATCAATATGTGAGTGCGGGTTGCTATTGGCGAATCCCTCTATCCACCCCCATCTGTGACAATGTAATGTGGGGTAAAGTATGGGTACTGCTACCTCTTCCAAGATGTCTTGCCAATGTAGAAGAGTAGGCCAAATACCCACTAGAGCAGCGTTCTTTGCAATCTCAATGGTTTCAAATGTGTGGCAGCCTTGACACTCTCTTATTGGCAAAAGTGGCCCCTCTCCGAAAATTAGATGAAGAACACTGCTCCAGTCATCAGTGGAATAAACACGGAATTGCAGAGCCTGCACCTCTACCGTTACCTTTTACCAATCTTTGAAAATATTTTTTTAGATCCACACTTATCTGCAAATAAACACAAATAGAATTATAGATTTGAAGTTTTCGTGACTGCAAGGATCCATACGCTTTGGTTCTTTCGGTAAAGTCACGTAGGTGAAAATAAAAATTATAATAATAAAAGAAAAGAAAAATTAAAATAACTAAATTAAATCACGACGTTTCGGGCGCAACACAAGTGTCCGTCATCAGGTGCAAAAATAGTTGTTGAGGTATACCTGAGGCATGCCTCAGCAACTGTTTTCGCTGTGGTTGTCCCCACCTGGTGACGGATGCTTGTGTTGCGCCCGAAACGTCGTGATTTAATTTAGTTATTTTAATTTTATTTTAATTTTCACCTACGTGACTTTACCGAAAGAACCAGAGTAAACACAAATATAATTAATTTTGCGCTTCTGGGACACCACAACTGCGTGACTCAACCGTGGATAATCATAAAAATGACACATTTTACACCAAAAATATAAATAGGATGAGCACATCGGCGACTAACATGATTTTCTGCAGATATTTGTGCCACGAGCTATGAGACGGCGGATAAGGGGATCTCCACTGTACACAGAAATACTGATTAGAGCATTATTGTACTCATTAGTTTGTCTTCCATGAGATAGGCAACATTTGTGTGGTGCATTCCAGGCGGAGTGGCAGTCTGCGAATGTGCTTTCGTGCAGCTGTTTCCATGGCTTAGCAGTCGTGTAAATGTGTGATCGTAGCGTTCAGACTTTTAAAGCCACTCTAACAACACCGTGTGGTGTCCCGGCTTCTTCGCCTGTCGATGCCTATAAAATTGTGCAAAGCAGATAATGACTCACAAAGACACACGGAGGACATGTGTGTGTGTGTGTATCTCCAAGCACATAGCCGCCCCTGCCTAAAGGTTAAATATTAACGCCGTTCCAAAGACCGCTTACCTGGGACGTTCAGTGTCCCCAAAGGGGTCAAACAACCATGGCCATCACATCTCAAATCCACAAATGGCTGCGTTGTTAATGTACGTTACGTGTTTGTGCCAATGCAACAGCGTTTCAAATTCTGGCTTGCCGGCTTATGACATTGGCAGCTGTAAAGAGGAATTTGCCCAGCCTCTGCTTTTAGGTTCCGTTATGTTAAAGCATTTTTTTGATTTGCTTAGCGTTGCGTGTGCCGACACTGTATCTGTGCGGGTCTACATCGGTTTCCAGTGTGAATAATACACAATGCAGCGCTTTATATTAAGAAAAAAGTACATTTGAATGAAATATTTGAAGGCCTACGCTATATTGCATGCGTTGCCGTACAGTACTTCACTGTCCTGTATGCAGTCTATACTATACAGTGGCGTATTGCCGGCACTGCATGATGTACAGCAGTACTATGTGGACTATGTACACAGCTGTTTCACTATAAATGTGGTTGTTTATTAAGAAGCCACAATGTCTTAAGGGATGAACATCGCATTACTGATGTGGGTGGCCTCGGGGAGGCTCCTGACATCAGGGCTTTACCAACACAGTACAGTGACTATAATAGACCTCATGTATTATACACAGTTGTATAGTGTTACACACAACACCTACCATACATAGCCCTGTGCACATACACACAGGGCAAAAGGTACATGTCAAGATCGTTATATATGAAAAATTATTGATGACGGCTCATCATGTACAGAATTGCAATCTAGAACGTTTTCACAAGGTCATCCTCGGCAAGATCAGTATATAAAAAAATATCAGTATATCAAACAATATCATTATATCAAAGAATAAATATAGTCATAACCAAGATGTTTAAAAAATAACAACAAAATAACCGTAAATATCAACGCGAATTAATCAGCATCACAATCACCACCACCACCACAAAACCCACCATAATAAACACACGTCGACATCACAACCATCACCATCATCACCATCAATAAACATCGCCATCACCACCACCACCCATCATCATCATCACCACCCATCATCATCATCACCATCAATAAACATCGTCACCACCACCACCCATCATCATCATCACCATCAATAAACATCGCCATCACCACCACCACCCATCATCATCATCACCATCAATAAACATCGTCACCACCACCACCCATCATCATCATCACCATCAATAAACATCGCCATCACCACCACCACCCATCATCACCCTCCACCATTTGTCCAGCACACTTGGCCCACAAGAACCCACCGTGCCCGGCGTGCATTCTTGCACAACACGGCACCACCAATCACACATCCCACATCCCCGAGCGCTCACCAGCTCAACGAGATTATTCAACATTTCTAAAACATGTCACATAGCAAGTCACCTGCTCTCCAAGGTCCGTGGCCACGTTGGTGACGGCCAGGGGCACGAGGAACCTGAGCAGGGGCCAGTAGTCCCCGAGCAGGGAGCCCGGCACGGCACCCATGCCACACGCCCACGAAGCTCACGGGGACTGCGAAAAAACAACAGCAGCAGCGGCTTTCTCGATCTCTCTCTCTCTCTGTCTCCTCCTCACACGGAACCTCCTTCTCTCTTGTCTGGCTCCTCGTGTCTCCGCCGTGTGTCTGCGTGTCTATATCTGTCCTCACCCCCCCCCACCCCCTACTGCTCCTTGCGTGCTCTGTGCTCTCCACCCACCGCCGCCGGTCGCAGACGTTGGGCATGAAGCCCTCCCTCCCTCCCTCCCTTCTCAATCTCTTACAAACCCCCGTGTGTGTGTCTGTGTCTCTGTGTCTGTTTATATCTGTCCTCTCTCTCTCACTCTCTCCCCTGTCTGCTACGTCGTGTGTCCCCCCCCCCTCCTTGCGTGCTCTGTGCTCTCCACCCACCCACGCCGGTCGCAGACGTTGAGCATGAAGCCCTCTCTTCTCAATCTCTCACAACCCCGTGTGTGTGTCTCTCTCTATATCTGCCCTCTCTCTCTCTCTGTCTATCTCTGTCCTCTCTCTCTCACTCTCTACCCTGTCTGCTACGTCGTGTGTCACCACCACCACCATCCCCCACCCCCTCCTTGCGTGCTCTGTGCTCCCCATCCACCCCACGCCGCAGACGTTGGGCATGAAGCCCTCCCTCCCTCAATCTTTCAAACCCGTGTGTCTGTGTCTCTCTCTTTGTCTATCTGTCTGTCTATATCTCTGCCCTCTCTCTCTCTACATCTTGTTGTGTCGTAGCCGTCGGCCTCCAGCCCACCACCCTGTCGTGTGCCTGTGTGTTGTTATTGTTGTTGTCTACCCGATCACAGCTGCTGGGGGGCAGGGATGGGGTGGCACTTGCGCAGCGTGGCAGCTGCGTCAATCCTCACAGCAGTGGGCTGGGCTCTGTGGGATGCGAGTTTGTTGTGCGTTTGTGTGTGTGTGGGGGGGGGTGGTGTGGCTGAATTGGGTGTGGGGGGGTGTTGTGGCTGAATTGTGTGTGGGGAGGTGGCTGAATTGTGTGTGGGGGGGTGGCTGAATTGTGTGTGGGGTGTGGTGTGGCTTGATTGTGTGTGGGGGGGTGGTGTGGCTGAATTGTGTGTGTGGTGGTGTGGCTGGATTGTGTGTGTTGGAGCAGTGAGGCTGGATGTGACTGTGTGTGTGTAGCAGTGTGGCTGGATGTGACTGTGTGTGTGTAGCAGTGTGACTGGATGTGAGTGTGTGTGTGTGTAGCAGTGTGACTGGATGTGAGTGTGTGTGTGTGGAGCAGTGTGACTGGATGTGAGTGTGTGTGTGTGGAGCAGTGAGGCTGAATGTGACGGTGTGTGTGTGGAGCAGTGTGACTGGATGTGACTGTGTGTGTGTTTGGAGCAGTGTGACTGGATGTGACTGTGTGTGTGGAGCAGTGAGGCTGGATGTGACTGTGTGTGTGTGTGTAGCAGTGTGACTGGATGTGACTGTGTGTGGAGCAGTGTGACTGGATGTGACTGTGTGTGTGGAGCAGTGTGGCTGGATGTGACTGTGTGTGTGTTTGGAGCAGTGTGACTGGATGTGACTGTGTGTGTGGAGCAGTGAGGCTGGATGTGACTGTGTGTGTGTGTGTAGCAGTGTGACTGGATGTGACTGTGTGTGGAGCAGTGTGACTGGATGTGACTGTGTGTGTGGAGCAGTGTGGCTGGATGTGACTGTGTGTGTGTGGAGCAGTGAAGGCTGGATGTGACTGTGTGTGTGTGTGGAGCAGTGTGGCTGGATGTGACTGTGTGTGTGTGTAGCAGTGAGGCTGGATGTGACTGTGTGTGTGTGTAGCAGTGTGGCTGGATGTGACTGTGTGTGTGTGGAGCAGTGAGGCTGGATGTGAGTGTGTGTGTAGCAGTGAGGCTGGATGTGACTGTGTGTGTCTGGAGCAGTGAGGCTGGATGTGACTGTGTGTGTGGAGCAGTGAGGCTGGATGTGACTGTGTGTGTGTGGAGCAGTGTGACTGGATGTGACTGTGTGTGTGTGGAGCAGTGAGGCTGGATGTGACTGTGTGTGTGTGGAGCAGTGAGGCTGGATGTGACTGTGTGTGGAGCAGTGAGGCTGGATGTGACTGTGTGTGTGTGGAGCAGTGTGGCTGGATGTGACTGTGTATGTGTGGAGCAGTGTGGCAGGATATGACTGTGTGCGTGTGGAGCAGTGTGACTGGATGTGACTGTGTGTGTGTGGAGCAGTGTGACTGGATGTGACTGTGTGTGTGTGGAGCAGTGAGGCTGGATGTGACTGTGTGTGTGTGGAGCAGTGAGGCTGGATGTGACTGTGTGTGTGTGGAGCAGTGAGGCTGGATGTGACTGTGTGTGTGTGGAGCAGTGAGGCTGGATGTGACTGTGTGTGTGTGGAGCAGTGAGGCTGGATGTGACTGTGTGGAGCAGTGAGGCTGGATGTGACTGTGTGTGTGGAGCAGTGAGGCTGGATGTGACTGTGTGTGTGTGGAGCAGTGAGGCTGGATGTGACTGTGTGTGTGTGCAGCAGTGAGGCTGGATGTGACTGTGTGTGGAGCAGTGTGACTGGATGTGACTGTGTGTGTGTGGAGCAGTGTGACTGGATGTGACTGTGTGTGTGTGGAGCAGTGAGGCTGGATGTGACTGTGTGTGGAGCAGTGAGGCTGGATGTGACTGTCTGTGTGGAGCAGTGAGGCTGGATGTGACTGTGTGTGCGTGGAGCAGTGAGGCTGGATGTGACTGTGTGTGTGTGCAGCAGTGAGGCTGGATGTGACTGTGTGTGGAGCAGTGTGACTGGATGTGACTGTGTGTGTGTGGAGCAGTGTGACTGGATGTGACTGTGTGTGTGTGGAGCAGTGAGGCTGGATGTGACTGTGTGTGGAGCAGTGAGGCTGGATGTGACTGTGTGTGTGGAGCAGTGAGGCTGGATGTGACTGTGTGTGTGTGGAGCAGTGAGGCTGGATGTGACTGTGTGTGTGGAGCAGTGTGACTGGATGTGATTGTGTGTGTGTGGGGCAGTGAGGCTGAATGTGACTGTGTGTGGAGCAGTGTGTGTGACTGGATGTGACTGTGTGTGTGCGTGCTGTGTGTGTGACTGTGTGTGTGACTGTGTGTGTGTGCTGTGTATGTGTGTGACTGTGTGTGACTGGATGTGACTGTGTGTGTGTGGAGCAGTGAGGCTGGATGTGACTGTGTGTGCTGTGTGTGTGTGCTGTGTGTGTGTGACCGTGTGTGACTGGATGTGACTGTGTGTGTGTGCTGTGTGTGTGTGTGACTGGATGTGACTGCGTGTGTGTGTGCTGTGACAAACACCTCGGGATTGTGTTGTTGTACCGTCGGCGGTCGTCTCGACTGCTGCAACGCTGCTCTTTTTGCGGGCATCAGCCAAAAACATTAAGTAGACTTTTAGCGATGCCAAACCTCTCACGTACAGTTCTTGTTATCCATAAAAGGCACGCAAAACATTCTGGCTCCCCTATCAGCCCAAGGATTGAGTTTAATATCACTGTTCTCTAACACCACGCTCTCATTTATGGGCCCTCTAATCTCAACCACGTGTCATATGCATAGTTCACCTGGCACAGAGGGCTGGAATTACGTCCTGCGGCACATTCCGAATATCCAATTCGTCCCCACTTTTAAAAAAAATTGAAGACTCGTCTGTTTTATCGGGCGTATGTGGAACTCTGAGCCTGCTCCCGTGCCACCTGAGTCGTGATTTTGATGTTGAGCTGTCATTTTTGTGAATGTGTAGGTTAGAAATAATTATTTTAATTTCCATGCGCCTTGACAAATAATCTGCATATCAAGAGTAATTTAGCATATTTATGGGAAATGCAGGAATGCGACTAGTGCTACTTGTGAAATGCGTAGGAGGTGGGCGGGGGGTTTTCAAAGTCATATTATGGGCGGGGGGTTGTCAAAGTCATATTATTCCCGTGCATTATGCAGGATGAGCAGCATCAAAGGGAGGGGCTAGGGGTAGCATTAATAAAGGGAAGGAATGTTAATAGTATACTATTAACATTAATAAAGGGAAGGAATGTTAATAGTATACTATTAACATCCCTTCCCTTTATTAATGCTACCCCTACCCCCTCCCTTTGATGCTGCTAATCCTGCATAATGCATGGGAATAATATGACTTTGAAAACCCCCCGCCCACCTCCTACGCATTTCACAAGTAGCACTAGTCGCATTCCTTCATTTCCCATAAATATGCTAAATTCCTCTTGATATGCAGATTCTTTTGTCAAGGCGCATTCCCCCCCCCCCCTTCCAACCCAGCTTAAATAGACGCTCCAAGCGTGGTGGTGTTTCATTTAGACGCTGTCGCCCCGACAGACCTGGTCTTCGCCTGAGGACGGCTGCTTGTGTTGTGGCCGAAACGTCGTGAGAATTATTTTATTATGTTTTATTTTATTATTTTATTACTTCCCTTCTACGTGACTTTACCGAAAGAACCAAGAAGGTGTTGTCTATATTTATTTAAAGTTGCGCATTTTGATATGACGTTACATTTCTCACCCCCGCCCCCCCCCCGCATCGTCACACATCGTCACTAATGTCTGACCCCCCCTAGGTGCGTGACGTCATTTATGGACGGCCCCTTATTCTATACTAGCCTTTTGCCCGTCTAAGGACGGGTGTATTTGCAAGCGAAAATCAGACCGCGACGTGATATTCATTGCATCAATTCGTGTGCAATTTGTAAGGGCGCGGTGACAAAGACCTATTTAATTTAAAGGTTATAATCCCTTGTTCATTATGACGTCCTTTTACTTCGATGTCTCAACAGCGCTACGGAGATCACGTGACGTGAGGGTTCTGCCTTTGCAGTGAGGGTTGTCAGTTGACGCCGAGGAGGGGGGAGGAGGCGCCTCGCCCCCCCTATGTGGAGTGACGTCACCCGCTAATTATTATTAATGAGGGGGGGTGTCCATTTAGAGTGACGTCACCTGCCTATGATTAATAATGAGGGGGGCTGTTCTATGTGGAGTGACGTCACCTGCTCATGCTTATTAATGAGGGGGAGGGGTGTCCATTTGGAGTGACGTCACCGGCTCATGATTATTAATGAGGGGGGCTGTTCGATGTGGAGTGACGTCACCTGTTCATGATTATTAATGAGGGGGGGCTGTTCGATGTGGAGTGACGTCACCTGCTCATGATTATTAATGAGGGGGGCTGTTCGATGTGGAGTGACGTCACCTGCTCATGATTATTAATGAGGGGGGGCTGTTCGATGTGGAGTGACGTCATCTGCTCATGATTATTAATGAGGGGGGCTGTTCGATGTGGAGTGACGTCACCTGCTCATGATTATTAATGAGGGGGGTGTCCATTTGGAGTGACGTCACCTGCTCATGATTATTAATGAGGGGGGCTGTTCGATGTGGAGTGACGTCACCCACTCATGATTATTAATTAGGAGGAGTGGGGGGGTGTCCATTTGGAGGACGTCACCTGCTCATGAATATTAATGAGGGGGGCTGGTCGATGTGGAGTGACGTCACGAGCGCTAAGGACAGAAACGCATCTACTTCGTATATCGAGGTATTAGTCTACTTTTTTTGGTCGATCGACTGTTTAAACAAGAAAACTCTGACCACTACCGTGCTGATTAAATAGGGCTGATAAAGCAAAAGACCTGGTCACTAATTCCTTTGAACCATGAAATCGCAAACGAGGCTGTATACATCATATACATGAATGCATTTCGTCATTGGAATCACATACAGAATTTGAATATTATGGTGCGTTGTGTTTCAATTGTATTTTATTTATGATTTTATTTGTTCGTTGAATATATTGTGTTGCAAATGTAAGGTTGTAATATGTGAAATTAGTTGATTTATATACGTGTTGAGTGACTCCCACACCTGCAATCATACAGCACTAATAGCAGGTCCAGTGTTTTCTTTATCTTGCCTACCGCACGTGGTATTGTATAATCATGAGCATCGCAAGTCTGGAATTGCCCAGGCGAGCACAGATGTGGTCTGTGTGAGACTGCTAAACATGTGTGGGCACTCCATTCATGTGAACCTCCATGACCCTTCTGGATGTTATGGTTTAGTGTAAACAACTTTTGGAACTGAACAGCAGAGTTAGGATTGCTAAAATGCTGCTGCGTGTTAAGAAATGTTTGCACAGCATCTATACTGAGGTCCATTCTGAAATTGGAAACTTAATTTGATCTTTAAGCAACTAAATCATAGATATTCCACTGTTGTTTCGCTCTTCAATGGGCATGCATTGATGCAATTCGAATGTTTTAGGTTTTCACACAGATGTACGGTACAAAACTTGAATTCTCTTCCCCACCTGAGGTAGCATAACTTTAGTGGTATCAATTTCTTTATGTGGCCAACTGCAGTGAATGATGTGATAACCATTTAACTCTTTATATTCGTATAAATACATCAAGACTACTTTAGTTTTTCTCCCTTCGGTGGTGCCAATTTCTGCTCTGGCGCATGGACTAATAATTATTGAAGTCTGAATCTCATAGCAGCAAGAATGCCAAACTATGCGTTTTTTTCCCCAGTCAGTTGCATTCTTTTTCCCAGTGCCAATGTTTAAATGAATTATACAGACTCCTAAATTCTAACGGAGACGCATGGCACGTGCACTGGGTGCTGGTAGTACAATGCCACCATTATGTGGTCACACAACGCAGCCAGCTGGCTCCACTGCAGGGCACATAAACCACCTTACCCTGTGCCTATGTGTGAACACTCACACTGATCAATCCAATGTAATAAATGCCACCTCTAAACTACCAAAAACAGACGTTGGGAAGAAGAATCTCACGAAACGTAAAGAGAGAACTACACATACATGTAAGGACATTAAAAACAACATTGACACGTTTAATGTCCTGTGGCGACTTACACATTTTTCAGGACAGCTACCTCAAAAAGAGAATGACCTTGGGAAACCCAGGACAAGTAGCAACCCTAAGCCCATGACTGTAGAACAGGACTGGAGAACCTTCAGGCCGCAGACAAAAGAGTTCTTGCAGCCCATGGCCACATTGGGCCTACCACTTCGAAATGAACCACGTGAAAACATCTTAGCTGTGCTAATTGGGTATTGGAGTGGAATATTTTTGACAAAGTAACTTTATTTTTCGAATTGTATCACATTTATTAAAGTAGAGCCTTGAATATGTTTCACGTTAATATTGGATACTAAGGAGTGTGTTCATGTGTGAAGCTCTTGCGTGGTCACCATTGGAACCTCCTTTGCCAGTAACAAGATATGATAATTGTTTTTTTACCCTTTTATCTGGCAACAAAACTGACACCTTTTTTACTAGGAGTCATGTTTGCATTGACCACAATACCTGCAGTCGGAATGCTTTTTTGTTTTGCATTCCGACTGCAGGTATTGTGGTCAATGCAAACATGACTGCTCGTAAAAAAGGTGTCAGTTTTGTTGCCAGATAAAAGGGTAAAATAAACAATTATCTTGCGTGGTCCTTAGTAAGACGTTGAAGGTTCACCACCCCTGCTGTACACGTGTTTCAGGTTGTCATGTCAGCTTGTGCTCTGATGATCTACAGTGAAATCTTTTCATTCCTGTAGTGTATGTCATATTCCGGCACATGCTTTTCTGCGAAAAATTGTTGTACTTTAATTTTACCCAGGTCACCCGTGTACTTTTTTTAATGAGCTGTGTGCCAATGGACGCATATTTTTTGTAGATATTCAGATATGACAACGGCATTTTTATTTCTAATACTCTAAGGTTCCCTCGAGTGGAGCCCATTCCGCTAACAGTGGGGTCAGCAAAACATTGCGTGGTCGCACCTTTTACACTAAATTGTAGGACACTTAAGTTTGAGAATATATAATGTAAAATACAAGTACTGGACAAGACAATAATGTACAACGAAAATACTCCTACGTTATAATGAATGTGTGCGCGCGCTTCACACCACAGTGCTGCTGTCGAGTAACACATTCCTGCGGAGGGAGCTGGTAGGAACGTTGGGTTGCTCGGTCAATGGCCAGGGTCAACGGCGGCGTGGTGTAATCCGCAAATATGCCCGACTGTGAGGGTGGGCACAAGCCGGCGTGAGTAGGTTAAACGTTGAGTTTTATCAGGGCACCACGGGGTGACCAGCCCCTCCTCACCCAGCCCCACCCCCCACTCAGCCCCACCCTGCTCACCCAGCCCCTCCCCACCCTCCCCACCCAGCCCCTCCACACCCAGCCCCACCCCTCCCACCCCCCACTCAGCCCCACCCTCCCCACCCAGCCCCTCCACACCCAGCCCACTCAACCCTTCCTCACTCTCCCCACCCAGCTCCTCCCCACCCAGCATTCCCCACCCAGCCCCACCCTCCCCACCCAGCCCCACCCTCCCCACCCAGCCCCTCCACACCCAGCCCACCCAACCCTTCCTCACTCTCCCCACCCAGCTCCTCCCCACCCAGCATTCCCCACCCTCCCCTCCCAGCCCCACCCAGCCCCACCCTCCCCACCCAACCCCTCCCTCCCCACCCAGCCCCACCCTCCCCACCCAGCCCCTCCCCACCCAGCTCCTCCCCAGCCCCACCCTCCCCACCCAGCCCCACCCTCCCCACCCAGCCCCTCCCTGCACGACAGACGGACGGACACAATAATCCCCTGTGGGCTGGTGTAACCAGGAGGTTCCTCCCAGTATAGTTTCAATAATCCAATCGCTTTGTAGCCCGCTTGCACGTGCGGTGCGGAAATCCAAGAATCGCACCCCCCCCCCCCCCCCGTTGAAATTTGTCGTCGCAACGCTCGCACGCGATTGGTCCCCCGAGTGGCATTTCGGAGACGATGCGGACCAATCAGCGTTCGAGGATTTTGATCGATCGTGCTGAGGGCTTCCACGATACGTCGTGTGGTATTGGAACAACAGCAATTTGGTAAACTCGTCTTAATATTGTAAGTTTTTGTTGTTCTACATTTTTTGAATGTTTTAACAAATGTGTGAAGATGCAAGTAGATGATTGTGTGACGATATAAATAATAGCGACCTTCGAGAAAACTGCTTAGCTCGGTTGAAGTTGGACAAACAGTAGTCGTAATCGATATTTTAAGTTTTCACGACGTCATCTGATGACGGACGCTTGGGTTGAGCCCGAAACGTCGTGATTTAATGTTATTTTATCTCTACGTGACTTTACCGAAAGAAGCGACGAGTTATAGCGGCCGCTTTGTAACATGGCGTCAATGGGACTTGGGTGTCAGAATTGACGGGCCCAGTCGATATAAAAATGCAACGTGGTGGCACAAATACAAGAAATGACGCTTAATCAGATAATGTTCATACTTAACTTACACCCTGTGCCACACAAGGCCATAAACACGACGCTCTGTAGTTGAATCTTGTCGTTTTTTTACGATTTGAGAAATTACCCGTGTCGTGTGAACTCGAAACGCCGTCACTTTTGGCCTAAAATAAACCCACAAACAACCCACGTACGTGGATTAAGCTAATGTGGCGTCCTAACTTGATGATCAACACGAAACATGTTTACGAATGCGCAATTTTCTATCGGCCTGATTTTCGAAAAACGTGGCCTTGAGGTCTCTGAGGAGTGGGGAGGACATTTGGAAGATTCGTGGCTTTCTCGTTATGACTTGTTGCAGCCGACGAAACATTTGAATTGCTTTTAAATGTTGTTTCAAATTGTCTATTAGCTGGGCAGTTCTATCCACAGCTCTTGTGATGCCCGAAACTTTTGATTCGTGGAGAGATTCAAGGCCGTGGCCATGGAGTCAACATTGGGGGGGATCAAAACTCCCCCCCCACAGAAAAAATAATCTAAATTTTAAAAGAATTTCCTGCCTAAAATATAAAAAAATTCACTAACACATGTGATGGACTTTTTATTTATTTGTAACAATGTATAATAGTGTATTGTATTACATTGCTCTGCTTTTTTTTTTACCTTTTCTTGTTTCATTGAATGTAATGGCGGAGATTAGGGATTCATAAAGAACAACCATAACCACAGTCATATAAACAGAAATCTATGCATTGTTATATGAAGACAAGTCCAGATATTGTCGCCAAGGTTTAGCAAATTGTTGTTTTTATTTACGTAGCATCGCAATTATATATAAAAAAAAATGGCATAGCAATATATTTGGGGGGATATTTAGAGCATATTTGAATATTGGGGGGGGGTGGGTGTCGAACTCGGGTCGCCGGGTTCGTAGCGCAGCGCGCTAACCACTACACTACCGCTCCCCACACACACACACGCTTGCTGCAGACATAACTTTCAGTAAACGACTGAAATAATAAAGCAATGCTGCGCGAAGAACGCCTTAGACCTGCAACACATTTGTATGACACTTTAATCGCGGAGGGTTGGGGGGTGCGTGACATGCAGAGCCGGGCCAGCCACTAAGCGACCCTTGCAATTGCAAAGGGCCCCGTGGCCAGCAGAGGGCCCCCTAGAGTGACTGCTAGCGAGTGGATGAAAAAAAATCATACATCAAAGGGGCCTCCAACCAAATTTTGCTTAGGGCCCCCAAAGGTCTAGGGCCGGTTCTGGTGACATGAGCAGGCACACTGCGTGACACTTCTGCATGCGGGTGACATGACAGATGTGACTTCACAGCTCACTTGCCGTGCAAAATATATGTATTATTGCGCCCCCCCCCCCAAAAAAAATATATACAGAAGTCTATTTTTATAATGTTTGCATGGTTTACAGTCTGGAAAGTACACACATGGCAAATTTCAAGTTTGTTGCATGTCGGGAAGTACGCTAAACATTTTGAACAGACACACATAATCACAACTTTGCCTTTTCTATATATTGAGATTACGGCCTTGGAGAGATTAGAAATCACACTCGGCTCTAATTGCTATATTTTTGGTGATAGCGTTTGGATGTGGTCGACTATCTGTCCAGCCAACCAGCAAAAGTTTTTATAACCTGAAAAAAGTTTAAAGTATAAAATGGATAGAGTTTGCTCATTTTGTCATCACCTGAGTCCAACTATACCAAAAATGTATTTCTCCCAATTAAGTCACCAGTTTGACAAGGTTGCAGAGTCAAAAAGGTGGCTGATTTGTACACCGTGATTATTGCCACCTCTTGTTTGCTCACCTTCCGAGCTGATGCTATGGCTGAGAGATTCAGAGCTCCTGGAGACTGGAGTCTTGTAGGTTAGGTGTGTCAGACATGGGTTTTACCTCCTCCTACATGTTAACCTTCTCTGGGTACTCTGGTTTCCTCCAATATGCCATTGATGGCATTGGCCAAATATATAAATGCAGGACCTCTGTGAAATAATAACTCTCAGTGGGACTTTTTTGGGTTTGATTGTAATACTTTTTCATCTGCTTGGTAAATGTGTTTCCTGTGCATGACAGGTGTGAGCACCTGTGCAAACCTGATGGAGGGGACCAGTGATAGTGATCTGGAGCAACCGATGCATGTCAGCATTCCGTATTGTGCATGCACCCAAGATCTGCCACTTACGACCATGGACCAAAGCAACATCATCACAAAGAGCTATGAAACCATCTACAACACCATACTCTGTGACAGTAACTGTAATGTCAAAGAGCTCACTTTCAACACATATTTGGGGGTGGAATCATGGAAGGAATGCTACTCATGTGCACATTTGAGCATGCAAACAAACCTGACCATGCCAAGTCCCTCAGCCGGTGGTGTATGTGCAGTGATAGGCTGCACGGAACCAACTGATTGTCCAGAAAGTGTGCGAGAGACTGAGAGAAGTGAAGTCCTTTACTTTCACCAAGTAGACCGAAGACCTGTCTATAACACAGACTTGCCTTATTACAACTCAAAAGTCAATCAATTTGCATTTTATGACAATTCTGGTGCAAATACAGATACTTTTTCTTCCAATGATCAAGATGGTGAGTGCATTTAAATGATACACGTTGAAGTGCTTTTCGATTAAGTAAGTTGCAAACTGTGCATCTTGTTTTATCATTGTCAATATTGATTGTCTTTTCAGATATTGCCACCAACAGACAAGCTGGATACAAAAGTTTGACATTTGGTGTTGGTGGATGCAAAGGCAGTGGGTGCCAATGCATGCAGCCCACCAAACTCTGTAGAACAATATCACCAATCGTGAGTGATGTCAAGTACTCTGTAAGTGATGGAGGCTTTGGACAAAATAACATCTATTCTGTCCTCCATGTGTCAAAAGCTGAGTTGTATAGTCAAAATTTTATAGAAGCCCACAATCGTGCTTCAAAAGGAGAATTTGTATGTTTCCAAAAAGATGGTTGTGATACTTGCACTATCGATGACATTAGGTTCAGGTCTATCAACAGTGAAAACACCTTTGAAGGAAAGACTTTAGACTGTTCTTGTTCAAATCATGGTGAATGTCTTTGCACAGGACTGAGACCACATTTAATTTCACACTCAAACAAAAATGTCATTCCTGTCTATGTACCAATGAAAGGATACACTGCTCGAGAAGAATTAGATGCTTGCACAAATATTGCACCACACATGGTACGTTCACTGCCTCATGAATGGCTTTTGAATCCCAACTACATTGAAGAATCTGCTTACCCAAATTCCAACAGACTTCACAAACTAGTTGCCATCTTTGATGCAGAACGGCCATCACTAATCGATAGGTTGAGGCCTGATGTCTCCACATTGAAGCAAGAAATGTCCACAGGCATGGCTCACCCAGCAGAGTATCCAGGACAGACACCTGTGGAATGTATAAATGTCTTCGACGAGTTGAGCGGGAAGCTGGGTCTCACAGTTGAGGAGATCAAAGACTTGGTGAGTGACGAGGACAACCTCAAAGACCTCTGCAACCTGGTGGACACGAATGGGATGTTCAGCAACGAAGGTGCTTTTTACATTTTATTTGATACTTTATTCCAGTGGTTCTCAATATTTTTTTGCTACTGTACCCCTTGTTGAATTTTGTTTTAATCGAGTACCCCCTTGCTTGACCCAACATGGTGTCTGAGAAATAAATATGAATAATGAACATCAATATTTTAACCAATTTTGTGAGGCATGCTAACTACCTAGTAACTGCAAGAAAAAAAAAGGATGTTCTGCATGTATGATATAATTTTACGCACTCGCTGGTTTACCCTTGGAAAACACATTGTTTAAGAACAATGCGTTTAGAAAGGTATGTTTTATCGTTATAGATTACCATAGAGATAACTTTTTTTATCATAGATATTTTATTTTGGCAGATTCATATACGATTATTCACCAATGACTCGTGAATGATATAATTTTACACATTTATAAATCACCTTAGGTACATTGCCACATACCTCCAGGGGTCTGCATACCCCCGGTTGAGAACCACTGCTTAATATTGTGCTGTGAGAAATGTTAAGGTGTATGTCTGTTGGGCCATAAAATTTGTTTAAATTGTGAATGTATCATTGTACATCAGCACGAAGTGACAACCTGCTCAGATTGCAGAGTACAATTCGGACTGTCTAAGTCTGTCTTTTATAATATGTTTTCGTATGTGAACTTTGAACAGCTATATAAATACAGCACCATAGCAGATGGATAACTCCATGAACATTGTATTGTTTTCTCTGCTGCTGTGGAATATTTTCTTCTTTTTTAATGGCATCTTATTTTCGGTACCAGTTAGGATGATATGATATGCATCTGGAAATGATTGATGAAAAGTTCAAATAAATTTGAGTCCTAAGTTTCACTGATTTTGAATTTGTTTAAGTATGACTGCTTTTGTTTTACAGATGCTCATAGCCAAGGGGCAGCAGTGAACAATGTTCCAATGCCACAAGTAATGCACTCTAATCATTCTCAGGTAAGAAGTCACAGGATCTATAATATCATTGTAAATATACATCAATGTTTAACATAAGCTGACATGTTACAGAGCAAGTTTGTTAAATGTTAAACTGAAACGTGACTGCTTTTTGCCCAATGTTTCGCAGGGTGATGGTGGTCTACACTGCATTAATGGAGGCAGAAACAGTTGTCCAGATTCACAATCCATGCATGGAATAGATAAAGGTTATTGCACTTAATATAAAATGCCCATCTGTGTGCAAGTATATATTTAATAGAATAAAAGTTCAATAACTTGCCATAATATTTGCAAATGTACATATTAAAAAATGCAACGTGAGTTCAGTCTTGGTATAAATTTGTAGGTACATTTTAGTCGCAATTAGAAGTTCGTGACTAGGATTTTTTTTTCTCACTTTGTGGACAGACCAGGACAGGCCTGACCATGAAGCTGCTTATTTTGATGGGCCTCCTGTCAACAGTGCAAGTCCACTCTTGGCTCTGGCACAAGGAACCCAGCTTGTAAGCTCTGCCATCCACCTCACACAATACCTTGTTTGCATCGTCTGTTAATACCAGCAAAGGTGTGAAGCTTACACAACCCAATGTAATTCCGTTTCTTCGATATTGCTTGAAAAAGTAGTTTAGAGTGACATCTAGTGGCAGAATTCAATATATAATGTGAATCCTTTTGTATCCCTGCATCAGTTCAAAGAAGGTGTGTAATGTCGCAATGTCATTTGCTGCTGGTGCATCGTTTGCTTTGGCATTTATGCGTCTTTGTCTCTGTTTGTGTGTGTGCATTTTCATCTATGTATCATCAGGAAAGTCATATTGGTGTAGGAGAGAAGGAGAAGAAAAACGTCATGGAGGGCAGGAAAAAGAGGCCTGCTTCAGTTAGACAGCAAGAAGATAAACAGAGCAAGGATAGACAGTACGTCCTCATTAATCGAAAGGAAAAGTGAGTCGGAAAAAGGAAGCATGCAGTGCAATAGAGACAGTAGAAAAAGTAAAGTTGAAGAAGTTACATGAAACAACAACTGCTATATATAGTGCTTAATAATGCATACAACACGAAAGGATGATTTGTAAGAATGAGCAGGGGTTAGTAAGGATGAGCTCATTTTAAATGCACATCGCACGGATGTAAATGTACAATAATACCTGCCAGGTTATGAAATAAAACAGTTACATGTAGTGATAACGTTTTACTTTTATGTTGCACTCATTTACAATTAATGTAGAAATTACGTTTTATATTATGAACAAGAAGTACAATGTATTCAAATGGACACAGTGCACAATATCACCCGTTATTCACGTGCTTTACTTAATATCGTCATAAATAAACTACCAGGTTGGATGTTTTTTAGAAAGTAAGTATATTTTTCTCGTTTCCTGTGAAAGGTATTGTCAAAAATGCACATTGGTAGGTACAATAGATATATGACGATGCTGATGGAGTGGTTGTGCTCTGCTGAAACAGAAAGAGGAAGCAGGATATTCAGAAAGGCTTCAAAAATCCGTGGCGACAGCTGCCTGCAAATGTCAAGGATTACCGGAGCTCCAAACACACCCAGGTGGGTACTCAGAATACCACACACATTCAGTGGGGGTAACTTTGCTGATTAATTGCACGTGTGGCTTTGATCTGGCACTTGGCTCACAGTGCATTGCAGGTGTTGGCAGGGGTAGTTTACATTGAAAGTACTTAAGACTTTGTAAAAAAAAATTTTTTACATCGTGGTTATAGCAATGTTTTTTTGTGGAGTGGCATGGATTTTTTTGATATTGTTGTTTTGAATGATAGATCAATACATTATAGTATCAAGATGCAACCATATTTCTATATGATGTACAGAAACAATAAGCCACAAAATTATTTTAGATTTGAAGCTTTCGTAACTGCAAGGATTCATACTCTTATGTGGTGGTACAAATATGTGTAGTTAAATCTTTTATTTTTTTACATGGTTAAAAGTTAGTAGAAGTCTTCCGGAAGAGTGTTGGCAAGTTGGTAGAGGTCTTCCGGAAGATGTTGGCAAGTTGGTAGAGGTCTACCAACTTTTAACCATGTAAAAAAAATATTTAACTATGCATATTTGTATCATATTATTTGACAGGTACTATTCTACTTTACCGAGTGTTGACATCCCCAGCGTTTAACAGTACTGCTTCCTTTTATGCTTATTATCAACTAACACCGGCCACAACCCTGAGTCTATGTGCACCATTGTTCTCTTTTAGCCCCGCCCCCCCCCCACCGTGCCATACCCTGGCTACCACATTCAGATAACCCCCCCCTCCCCCTTAACTTGTATTTAAGAGCTTGTCTCTTGGATTTTTCCTCACTTGATACAGTAAATTTAGCTGTGACGGTCCCACCTGATGACGGAGACTTGTGTTGCCTCCAAAACGTCGTGATTTATTATTTTATTTCTATTATTACTTTTATTAATTTTAATTTAATTTTTTACCTACGTGACTTTACCGAAAAAATCTAAGTATGAATCCTTGCAGTCACGAAAGCTTCAAATCTAGAATTAATACCCTCTACGGGGAGGAATTTCACCTATCTGTTAGAGTTTTTAACAGACGAGACAATAAGTCACAGCTTCTCGAGACGCTGGCCTTCCTCAAGAGATGCCGCGATAACAAGCGTATGAATCCTTGCAGTCACGAAAGCTTCAAATCTAAAACTCTACCAACTTGCCAACACTCTTCCGGAAGACCTCTACCAACTTGCCAACACTCTTCCGGAAGACTTCTACCAACTTTTAACCATGTAAAAAAAAAGATTTAACTACACATATTTGTACCATCTTATTTGACAGGTACTATTCTACTTTACCGAGTGTTGACATCCCCAGCGCTGCGTCCTTTTATGTTTATTATCAGCTAATACCAGCCACAAGCCTGAGTCCATGTGCACCATTGTTCTCTTTTAGCCCCCCCCCCCCCCACCGTGCCATTCCCTGGCTACCACATTCAGATAACCCCCCTCCCCCTTAACTTGTATTTAAGAGCTTGTCTCTTGGATTTTTCCTCACTTGATAGAGTAAATTTAGCTGTGACGGTCCCACCTGATGATGGAGACTTGTGTTGCCTCTGAAACGTCGTGGTTTATTATTTTATTTTATTTCTATTATTACTTTTATTAATTTTTTACCGAAAAATCCTAAGAGTACAAAAATATATATTTTATGTAAAATACGTATTATGTAAAACGTATTTTTTCCGTCTATATATAACATGATTTTCTCAAGCTGAAATTGCTCTGAAACTGTCCTTAATCTTTATTTCTGTTTGCACACATATTTGGTACTGTGGTAGAATACAATTATGAGAAGCACCTGTGATCACATCATTGATCTGAAGAGGGACATGCAGAAGAACGGTCATGTTGAACCAGATCACCAGCAAGGTACTGCCTCGGTGTGAAATGCAAGCTGGCAAAGAAGAGCTGTAATCCATTCTTACCCTGATCTCCCCAATTAAAATGTTATAATACAAGGTAGCTCGTAGTAATCATTGTACGAGCAGCCTGTTTCCCTATGGTATTGCATATGTACATGGTTTAAGTGTAGAACATTATGGGTGAGTGGTTTTAAACTGTTATTGCGCTGCAAAATTACTTCGTTAAATGTAGCTTTCTTTTCTTTACAAACTGTCTTTAATTTTGAACACTGCTTTACTGTCAAAGGCTCAAATACTGAAACAGTCGAGGCAGAGGGAGCCCACTATGAGCTGCCACTTGGCACGACAGAGGAAGGCAACAACCAAGACCTCAGCAGCGACGACAAATTGTCTAAGAATAAATTCCTTAAATTCAAAATGAAATACCAGCACCACCTGAAGAATATATTTCCACGCATGGGCATCAAGGAAACCAAGAGACTGGTGAATGTCAAGTGGCATTCAATGCGCCTGGCCGAGAAGCAGCTCTATATGTAAGTGCGCACGCCTCAAAGCAAATCTGTCGGCACACTTCAACATAAAGTAACAGATGTCTCAGGGCGCAGTAATATGTATGTTTAGTACAACAATTTGTTAAAGACAGTTTTGGTGACACAAAGTTCTCAAACGAGTTTTGATTTGTATTTTTGTTTGCGTCAGTTTGTATTTTGCTGCTGTAGGTTCTCAGTGTGCCCTTGGTTTAATTACGTGCACTTGTGTGATTTCAGCAACCGTTGTCATCACCGTGAGCTGACAGAGCAGGGCAATGATGACTCATCTTTGAAGTACAGCACTCGGCCTTCATTTCCAAAAAAGACCGACGGCATGGCTGGTATGACCTAGGCCAGTGGCAGATTTAAACAATGGGAGAGTTGAAAAGCGGCAAGGGAGGCCACTCCATACTTTAGGCACAGCAAAGGAAGCATGTTGTCCTCTCACCATGCATTGATAAGAAAATGTTACCTGAGATGAGTGGAATACAGTGTTTTCTACCACAGAGAGAGTGGGCAAGATCATTTATCATCGTCGTAAGTGGGAATGGATATCGTTCTTTTTCCAGTGTGTAAACAGATGGCTGGAAATTGCTTTTTTTTGTGGTGACTACGTTTGCATTGTGCTGTTTTCCTGGTGTCTTTTAAGAAACACGCTCAAACCGTCTGAGGGACTGGCAGTACTTGCGCAAGCTCAAACAGCAGACGGAGAAGCGGCAGATGCTGCAATGGATCATGGGGTTTGGTGTTTTATTTATATGTTTGTTCTTTTATGTATACGTCTATTGTTTACATAAAACCTTTAATGTCGTGAAAAGTCTACATTAAACACATTATTTGGTGATATTGCATTGACAGTGGTGGACAAGTAGAAATAACAAAACATTCAACACATTCGTCAACGCTTTCTTGAAAGAAAAAATAGGTAGTCGGCAACATTTTGGGCAATGGTCCTTCTTTATCGTGCATAATGACCATTTCCCAAAACGTCAACTATAACATATTTTTAGATTTAAGGCCACAGTGTTATTGATGAATGTGGTGAGTTTTTTTTTAAAACGATACATTCAAATTTCGATTTAAAGCTTTCGTGACTGTAGGGATTCAGACGCTGTCGCCTCGACAGACCTGGTTTTCACCTGAGGATGGCTGCTTGCGTTGTGGCCGAAACGTCGTGAGAATTATTTTATTATGTTTTATTTTTATTATTTTATTACTTCCCTTCTACATGACTTTACCGAAAGAACCGAGAAAACGATACATTCGTTAAGCAATTACGCTTCATTCTTATGGTCACAATACATGCATTGAATGTGTGTGACAAATAGTTACATATACAGATAGTGCCCGAGTTACGATGGTCCGACTTACGACATTTCGATCTTACGATGGCGATAGCGATACGACAAAATTGTAAAATATTTTTAATTTCGCGCGGCAGGCAAACGCAGCAGCGTACGAGGTACGATACTGTACGTTGGGACGCTGCCGGGATGTGCGCATCTCCCGCCTTGTGTGATGATGCCTCACTCTTACCAGTGGTCGACGGAGTTAAGTTGTCTCGGTGTTCAATGCATGTAAAAAGTTTTTATATAGGTAGGCTAAGAATTTACCTTGGTTTTTTTTATTAATTTACATTTTACTGTACAATACAGTATTGTAATTAATAAATACATACAGTATATAGTTTATACAGTACGGTACTGTAAATTTCTCTGTTTTGCTAAATTGTCACCATTCTTTAGGACTCCTGGGTAGGCTAGGCCATCTTCGACTTACGATATTTTTGACTTACGATGGGGTCGTTGTAACGCATCTCCATCGTAGTAAGTCGAGGACTACCTGTATAAGTAATAGATTCGTGTGACCTCTAGAATCACCGAATAAGCTACGTTACCATTTTAAAGTTATTCTTCAATACCGGGACCATGAATCTCAGCAGTTCATAAAATAGCAATGATGGTCACACGTTACATGTCTTCCTTTTAATAGAGAAACTGCAAATCACGCGACAGTTTGTTCAACTGTGTTGGTGCCTCATGATGTACTGCTGCATAAATAATGACGACCCAACTTGTATGCATACGGTCATTGACATGCCTCTATTTAAAGCTTATTATATTTTCACTTCTGTCCATTGACGTCTGTAGGGCCGTGAAGACGTGGCGTAACAGAAAGAGGTGCAGGAGAAGAAACTGCAGGTCAGGCCTTAAACAAAAAGGCAGCATCTGCGAAGATAACTGGGTGCAATGTGACACATGTGACAAGTGGAGGAAGCTTCCGCTCGGCACAAATTTGGATACCCTCCCAGAGAAGTGGTGAGTTTAACACTCTCCCTCTGCTCACCTTTTTATGCGGTGTTGTATGCACTTGGAAGGAGAGATTGCAAAGTGTTCATGACATGTAATTGGCTCCATATGGTATACAGCATGTCCTCGTTTAATGCGGTAAATGCATACCTGAAAAGTGGAATGTTAAGCAAAAACATTTCCCCATAAATAACACTACGTAACACAATTTTTGTCCTGTTAGTAAGTGTTATTTCGTAATAGCTTATGCCTAAAAAGTATAGAAAATGGCTATTATTCCCCACAAACTTTGCTTTTGTGACTAGGACAGTGATATTTTGAAATGTATCTATTTTCAATGAGAAACGGGCAAATTTGTGTTTTTTCGTTCACATAAAGTCAGAAAAAAACAACATGAATCAAAATTACATTTATTTATACTAAAGTAATAAAAAAATGACTACAAAAGATTTAGAAGTGGTCGTTTTTCGAGATTTAAGATGAGCATCAAGGATATGGGCTTTGAGGGACATCCTACAGCCCATTATGCCGTAGTTCTTCACCAGTCTCAACCAGCTCCACATAGTTTTCGACCTTGTGATTGCCCAGGAAGCCACGAGCCATCTGCGACAAAGATGTTCCAAGCCGCTTTCTCCTTACTAGTGAGCTTCTTGGGGAATTCATTGCACTCCAGGATCTTCTTTATCTGTGGTCCAATGAAGACACCGGCTTTGACCTTTGCCTCAGACAGTTTAGGGAAGAAGTCTTGAAGGTACATGAAGGCTGCCGACTCCTTGTCTACAGCTCTGACAAATTGTTTCATAAGGCCCAATTTAATGTGCAGTGGTGGCATCAGCACCTTCCGGGGGTCCACCAGTGGCTTCCACTTGACGTTGTTCCTCCACACAGAGAACTCGGTCTGCTGTGACCAGTCCCGCCTGTGGTAGTTCGCTTTGGTGTCCCTGCTGTCCCAAAGGCAAAGATAGCAGGGAAACTTGGTAAAACTGCCTTGGAGACCCATCAGGAATGCCACCATTTTGAAGTCTCCGATGACCTCCCAGCCATACTCATCATACTTCAAGGCGTCTAGCAAGGTCTTGATGCTGTTGTAATCCTTTTTGAGATGCACCGAGTGAGCCGGGGGAAGAGACGGGTAATTGTTACCGTTATGGAGCAGCACGGCTTTGAGGCTCCTGGATGAGCTGTCAATGAAGAGGCGCCACTCATTCTGGTTACAGGCGATTCCGATTGCCTCGAACAGACTGTGGCAGAAGGAGAGCCCATCTTGACGGGTGAAGAAGTTGCAAAAAGGTTGGCGAGGCTTCCTCTGATCTGCGACTTGTACACTTTTATCCAACAAGTTCCACTGCTTGAGCCGAGATGTCAAAAGCTCAGCATTGGACTTGGTGAGACCAAGATCTATGATCAAGTCGTGGAGATCTTTTTGGTTGGGGTGGTATCGGTTTCTCGCCTCAGCTCCACCTCTGAAATTGTCATCTGGATCGACAACGTCTTCCTCGCTTTCTGACTTGCTGCTCTCTTCTAAGATGGCTGCTCTCTTTCTGAGGAGTGGGTACAGGGAGCTCATGGCAGTGTGGCATGGGGCGATGGATGAAGGAAGGTCCGGATACGTGATAGCAGGTTCATTCTTGCCAGTCCGACGTTTGGAAGGATCCACCATGCAGAAGTAGCAGTTGCTTGAGTGGTCAGTGGGTTCTCGCCAAATTCTTGGGATAGTGAACTTCATGGCTCTCTTTTCCCCTCTGTACCATCCTACAAAAATACATTAATTTCACCCATGACTAATGTGTAAGAGATTCTCGCAACATTTTTCATACATGATATATTTTTTCAATAACATTGAAAATTGTAAAACATACAATATTAAAAATTGTAACAAATTTTAGAACATAAAATTCCGGGCAACAATTGTCCATCTTACCTTCCACAGTTTTTTAGCATTGCTCGCAGGTGAAATGAGGTGCCCAGGGTTTGTCTTGATCCCCGACAGGTATGCCGAAATATGCCTTGTAGGCCTCACACATCTTAGCAGATGCTTCTACAGGACTTTTTCGCTCGTCTTGATAAATTGGCCGTAGACATAGCAAAATTGTCTACCGGATGCTTGCAGCCTCTTGATGCTATCTCAGAAAAATGCAGATATGTATCCACTTAGGCAGCTGGAACTAAACTGAACTGGTGGGCTTAAGGCCCCTGTATTATACTACTATTTATATTACTGGGAAGTTCTAGAATTTTCTAGAAGTTACTCCAAGTTTACACAGCACTGAATCTATCTGGAATGTTCTGGAAAATAGGTAAGTTTCTAAATATCACTGTCCTGGTCACAAAAGCAAAGTTTCTGGGGAATAATAGCCATTTTCTGTACCTTTGAGGCATAAGCAATTAGGAAATAACACTAACTACCTAGGAAAAAAAAAATTGTTACACAGTGTAATGCAACTATAAAGTTTGCCGAGATAGGATGTAGGCACATTCAGTAAGATTGTGGGACAAATAACTGAGGGTACACTGCCGCTTTACTGTATCATTCTGCATAATGTATACCGCTCAGCCGCACAGCTCAAAAAAGTAGTTCTTCGTCGACCGCTCAGACCGCGTTAAAACAGGCGCGTTCCACGTTGTGGGAAAGGTGTTCTCTCGTGGAAGAACCGCATTATAGGGAAAATACGTTGTGTGAACACGCATTAAGCGAAGACTTAACCGTATAACTTTGAGCTTAAAAACTTGCGATATAATATACAACTTGCAGCGCTTTTGGACCCTCCGAATAACTGTACGCCGATCTCTACCTTAAAAATGTAATTGTCTAATTTAATCACACGTCTCGTATGATAGATGAAGGTTGTTTGTTTTTAAACGATGTAACCTTTTTTTTAAGGTTTTGCGTGATGAACCCTGACCCGCTGTACAGGGGATGCGATGTGCCAGAGCAGCCATGGGAAGATGATGGTGTGGTGCCCGAAAACAGACGGGATGAAAAATCTCCGAGTTCCTCTGTGCAGTGCAAGTTGGAAAGCGGCAGCACCAGTGGCGTGGGGGCCCAAGAGTAGGCAGTGGTTGGGGGGAACAGCGCAGCGGCAAGGGGATTTGTGTCAGGCCCAAGCCATCTTTTGTTTTAATTACGTAAAGAGCTTTGTGGAATCTGGACCAATTTTGCTTTCGAAAATAGTAATTTACGAGTAATTCTAACATCAGGTCAATATTTAGCGATTTGAAAAGCTCAGCATATGTGATTTTGGTTGTTTTCGATAACGTTTGTTTATTGTTAATGTTAATGCATATTTAATCAATGTCCCAGTCTTAAAAGTGTATTGTATAATTAGGCAGTTTGAACTGCGTGTTTGAAATGTTAGCAACGCATTTCTAATACACTTGCGTTTGTTTCAATTAAAGAAGCTTAAGTGATCTTAAATAGCACAAAATAGAAGCATTTGAAAGTCACATCTGAGATGTTAATGAGCACTCGGGGCTCAATTCTTGCTAAGCGTTTGTGTTGCTGCTGTCGTGGTGGACACGTGGCAGGCTGAAAGGATGAGACTTTTGTACGGTAACAACATCTTCACAGTACAAAGTAGTACAGAGAGATTTATTGGTCTAGTACAGGGGTCGGCAACCTACGGCTCCGCAGCCGCATTCGGCTCTTTACGGGCTGCTTCTTGACGATATGTACGTGAGATTTCAAGAGCCGCAATGCAACTGAGTACAGTATGTACTCAGTTGCATTGCGGCTCTTGAAATACTGAATTTTGTACCGAATTGGAAAGAAATGGCTCTTCTTGTTATTTTGGTTGCCGACCCCTGGTCTAGTACAAATTGCTGTCCATTTATGATTCTTAATGTGTGATACCTTTTCTGGACACCCTTTACACTATATACAGTTGTAAACAGCATACATGTTTGTTTTGATGTGTAGTACGCTATATATGTCAATATTTACATAAACAAAAAAACATGTCTGATTACCTTTAAACGTTTTAATGTTACCAGATAAATATTAACCCAAAAAATTTTACTTTAAGCTTTCATGACTGCAGGAATTCATATTCTTTGGTTCTTTCGGTAAAGTCGCGTAGATATAAAAAATTATTAGAAAAAATTAAGTGAATAAAAATAAAAAAAAACACATGTAGACTGTAGCCTGGTTCCTAATCGGAGTGAGTGTACTGGCAATCTATAATGTGGACTGTAGCCTGGTTAAGTTTGGTGAGTGTACTGGCAGTCTATAATGCAGACTAGCAATGGTTATTAAGCTGGGTGAGTGTACTGGCAGTCTATAATGTAGACTGTAGCCTGGTTCTTAGCCTTCGTGTACTGGCAGTCTATAATGTAGACTTATTCTGGTTCTTTCAGTAATAAAAATTAAATAAAAATAACAAAACTAAAATTTTAAAAAACCACGACGTTTCGATCGCAACACAAGCGGTCATCAGGAAAAGGGGGTGTTTGCCTAACAAGGCAAACTGTTTATCAAGATTTAGAGATGGGCATAACCCAAGTGTGTCAACAGCATAGGCGGGGCAGCTAATGTTAATGTAGGAGAAAACCCCGACACCGGCAGTAGGTCTAGACCTAAGAATATGAATATAGGTCTAGACCAATCAAAGCATTGCACCTTGCTCCACACACCCACACTGCTGACGGTGGAGGTTGACTAGAAAGCACAAATCAAGCTTGTGTATATATGGACATCCATATATACAGACAATTTCAACCGAGAGGATGGTTATAAGCTCAGCAATCATTGAAAAGATGTCATCAACCACTTTGGGTCATGATTTGTGTTTTCTTGTCAACCGCCACCGTCAGCAGTGTGGGTGTGTGGAACGAGGTACAATGCTTTGACTGTTGTAGACCTGCCGGTGTCGGGGTTTTCTCCTTCATTAACAGCTGCCCCGTCCATGCTGTTGAGACACTTAAGCTACGTCCATTCTAAACCTTTATAAACAGTTTGCCTTTAGAGGCTAACCCCTCTTTTCCTGATGACGACCGCTTGTGTTCCGATTGAAACGTCGTGGTTTTTGTTTTCAATTAAATTTTATTTAATTACTGAAAGTACCAGAATAAGTCTACATTATAGACTGCCAGTGCGCTCACTCAGTTTAATAACCATTGCTATAGTCTACATTATAGACTGCCAATACGCTTACCAGCTTAAAAAACAGGCTACAGTCTACTTTATAGACTGCCAGTACACTCACCCAGCTTAATAACCATTGCTACAGTCTACATGAGTGTTTTTTTAATTATTCACTTTTTATTATTATTTTTCTATCTACGTGACTTTACCGAAAGAACCAAAGAATATAATAACCAAAAAAAATGTGCTTTTTGCAATTCACGTTCAGAGTTGAAAATACAGTAATCTACAAACATCGTTTATCTTATGGTAAAGAGTTGCGTTCATGTTGTTGCATCTCAGATCACTTAAGATCATTCGCATTTGTAAGGATCGTTCCAAAACATCTGCTGACCAAACGTACCATTTATGTTTCCTGAAATTGTCAAGCCATTCCTTACTGGTGAAAATGGGTGTAATATTACACTGGTCAACACACTTTTTCTATTTTAGATTAATTTCAGGGTGCTGATTCCAAATCTGGAATCAGTTTTTGTATTTCACATCAGGTTTTTGAGATATCAAATATTGCATTTTCAATGCAAACTGCAGAAGAAAAATATAAAATAAATGTGGATATCTACATAAAATGTTATTATAAACACACTATCCTAAAAATACAGCACCATATTTTAACACAAAAGCAGTCACTGACTCGCAACAACTTGCAATCATAAGTGACAGAGTTAATTTCGGGTAAAATCAATGAAAATGTGGTATGCCGATAGCATAAAAATGAGATGTGATAGAGCAAATCTGAGATCAGATTCAGCACCCTGAAATTAATCTAAAACAGCAGCAAAAGTCCATGCCAGAAATTTTTTTTGATGACCAGTGTTATTCGAGCACAAATAGCCAGTTTATGTACCACTTTATTGCTGAATAAAACAAGCATATTCCTTCAAGGTCGTATGTTTCTATTTTATTCAAAATAATCACAACCATGTCAACTCTATATTATGCAATATATTGAGTTGACGTTACAGCTGTCGGTATTGACAAATGACAACTTCATCAGAGATGCAAACGAGGGTCCTGAGAGCAACAGTTGGGCCCTATATGCTGATTATCAACTGGATTGTATCACCGTTTAAAGAGAGTCCATACGATTAAGGAAAACCATACTCCATTCAACACGTAGGGCAGGGCACCAACACTTATTGACGTCAACCTTTTCTTCCCGCAGACCCTCCCCCACCTTTGTCCCACACCTCTTTTATATATATGCCCTCTCGCCTCCTTTCCCGGCCAATATGTATTTTTTTAGAGTTTTTCACCCAATCCCCTTTACCCCCCTTTTCGCACCTTTCTTCCCAGCGCCCTTAACTATTTTCCTGAGCGTGGTCCCTTTATCTTTTGCGTGACCCGTACATTGAATCCTGGCCGTATCCCCGCACCACCTCTGCACTGTGATGTGCATAAATCAACATGCGTTGCTTTCTAGATTTGAAGCTTTCGTGACTGCAAGGATTCATATTCTTAGGTTTTTTCGGTAAAGTCACGTAGGTAAAAAATGTAATTAATAAAAGTAAAATAAAAATCACGACGTTTCGGAGGCAACACAAGCTTGCGTCTTCAGGTGGGACCGTCACAGCACGCTCGCTGTATCAAGTAAAAATTTACTTGATGACGGTTCCCCCTGAAGACGGAAGCTTGTGTTGCCTCCGAAACGTCGTGATTTTTATTTTATTTTACTTTTATTAATTTTAATATTTTACCTACGTGACTTTATGGAAAAAACCTAAGAATATGCGTTGCTTTCATTCCCTTTACAAAGCTATGCCACACTGCCTGTCCCTTGCGAAGTTTGGCTTGGTCGTTGACGTCCATGCTTGCCATTGTGAACTTCATGCTCCGACAAGGCGACAAACGACGTGGAATTTTTGGTTACATTCTTATTTAATGAAACGTATCTAATGTCAACGGAGTGTCAGGTCTCGTCTAAGAGTGGCACAGACACAAAGAGCGTGCACTGTGCTAGTCCTTGTGTTGTGATCCATGTTTACTTTTGGGTAAGGCCACATTATGCACATACCATTTTCATCCATTTTACCCCCCCCCTTCCAACCTCATGGTTATTGTGCTATTGGACTTATATCACGAGAAAAAATAATTTAACTTATAACATGCAGAACAGTTCATCACCCCATGTTAGAGACTGGTCTGGGAAAACGGAAATTGCTACAGAGAGAAATGTTTGTCGCATTACAGTCAAACTGAGATAGGAATTTGCCAAATAAATTGAAAAACCAAATGTAATGTTTTTTTTGTATATGCATTCGTCAGTGGCCGGGCTGAGATACTCGGAGACCCCGGTGTAACCACAGGCGCCCGCTTGGATTTGAACGCAGGATCTCAGTGGTGCCAGCTTAACGCCTGTGCTGTGACATTTTTAAAGAAAATATTACACCCAACATGTTCCTGCTAATTTAGCAGGTAATGTTGCAGTGTGTCAAGGTGGACTAGAATTTTCCGTGGAGTTAAGTGGGAACTCAAAAACGGATATGTACAAGAATATATTTAACCGAAAATGTTCGTAATAGAGAGTAAATAAATGTTGTCACGATAAGCCACACATTAACATGACTTGTTGATATTTAAATGAATGAATGCACATGAGATTCTTGATCAGACTGCTTTTACAAACGGAATATAATCATGAGCGTTATTGTAGAGAATGACAATGAATGTTTTCCTTGCATCGAACTCCGACTCATATCTTTAAGAAATGACCCTTGCTTATAACATCTGGCAGTTAACCAGCATTGATTCAAGCGGCCTGACTGCTAATGTCGAAACCAGTCCAGAGTTTGCTTTACAGAATCATCGCTGCTGAAATAATGCGCTTGAAAAGGCCGTATAGCTGATGGATTGTTCAGGAAATACTTTTATTTTTTTTATCTGGACAGATAAATGAAGGAAAAGTATTGTCTCCCTATTTTGATATTTACAAACTGAGTTGTGTTGCCGAAGTTATGAAAATAACTCCAGTCGCTTGAATTGCACATCATTTTAAAAGGATAGGAATGGATATACTTCACAACAATGAATACCCAATTACGATGGATGGAACGGAATTTGCTGCAGTAATTCAATGAAGAGACAGCTAATGAGTACCTTTTATGTAAAATTTTCTTTTCAAGAATTTAATCGCACTGTAGCACCACTAAAGGCTGCATTTATAATGACAGCTTTTTGTGGCAAAATTAAGATAGTAACCTTGCATTCTTGGACACTCTCTAGAGATTGATACAAAGATGTTGGCATCGTTTGCAATAATTAATTGTTTTTTTATGTTTTGGCAGCTGTTATTACGGATTTCATGTTGTGGTTTAAAAAAAAAACTTTGTTGGGCCCTGTAGGCGTTAGATATGAAGCAGTTTCAGAATACTTTATGTCGTTTTTGTTTTATAATTGGCATACTGGCTTTTGTGTTGGCCTGCCACATCCCTGTGGTCGTAATTATACAGTGGCCAATCAGTCGCTCTTGATGGTGTCTTCTTTTGTAAAGCAGCTTTTGTCAGGAAAATTTCACTTTTTGACAGCTAA